ACCATTCATCTCTAGGACTCTCAGCATCTCATTTCACTCAGCATAATGTCTTCACAGTTCATCTATGTTGTACACGTGTCAGATTTTAATTCCTTATTAGAGTTTAATAATATTCCATTTTATACATATGTCACATTTTCTTTATTTATTCATCTGTCAATAGACATTTAGGTTGTTTCCACATTTTGGCTATTGTGAATAATGCTGTTATGAACATGGCATGTATACAAATGTCCATTTCAATTCTTTTGGGTATATACTCAGAAGTGGAATTGCCAAATCATATAGTAAGTCTATATTTAATTTTTTGAGGACTCATCATACTTCTTTTCATTGTGGCTTTTCATTTTATATTCCCAATAGCAAGACACTTAGTTCCAATTCTTCCGCATCCTTGCCAGCACTTATAGGCTTTTTTTTATAATAGTCATCCTGATGGGTGTAAAATGGGTTTTCACTGTGGTTTTGATTTGTAGTTATCTAATGATTTGTGATATGGACTATCTTTTATGTGCATACTGGCCAATTCTTTACCAATTTTTTAAGTGAGTTTTTTTTTCTTCTTTTCTGCCTTCCCTGGTTTTAATTGAGTATTTTATGTGATTCTATCCTATCTCTTCTCTTACCATATCAATTATACTTAAAAAGTTTACAACCCTAATCAATTTTGCTCAGTGGATAGAGAGTCACAGGTTCAATTCCAGTCAAGGACATGTACCTCGGTTGTAGGTTTGTTCTCTGGCTGTGGTCGGGGCATGTGCAGGAAGCCACCAATCCATGGGCCTCTCTCACAATTATGTATCTCTCTCTCTTTCTCTGTTTTTCCCCTTCTCTACCACATTCTCTCAAAAAATCAATGAAAAAATATCCTTGGTTGCAGATTAACAAAACAAAAAAATTTTTACATTGCCTTACATTTTAACTTACTTAAGTCCAAATAAAATAACACTATAGAGCTTCATGCAATGTACAGGTAACTTAGAATCTTCCAAATCCTCTCTCTTTATTTATCCCTTAAGACTCTGCTGTTATTTATTTCCCTTATCCATTTGCTATAATCATCTTATCCATTTGCTATAATCATCTAATACATTATTCTATTATTACTTTAGCAATAAACTGTTATCTGTTAGATCAGTGGTCGGCAAACTCATTAGTCAATAGAGCAGCAAACCTTGACTCGGGAGCCGCAGTTTGCCAACCACTGTGTTAGATCAATTAAGAATAAGAAAAATAAAATAAATTTTACCTTTATTTATTCCTTCTCCAGTGTTTTCCTTTCAACTTTTAGATGTGTGTTTCTGACTTATATCATTTCCTTTTACCTAAAGAACTTCTTTTAATATTTTGCAAGACATTCTTCATTTCTGTTACAGTGTTTTAAAATTCTAACATTTGTTTTTGACTCTTTTTTAAAGTTTCTCTCTTTCTACTTATATTACCCATTTTCCATTAGATCCCGTAGCATATTAATCATAGTTATTTCAAATTCTCTATTGGACTCCAATTCCAAATTGATTGGAATTTGGATTGGAATTAGAAATCTGGCCTTAGTTCCAAAATATGTCATATCAGAGTATGATTCTATTACTTGCTTTGTCCTTCAGACTTTGTTTTCTCTTGTCTTTTAAATTGCCTTGCAATTTTTTGTTGAAAGCCTGCAGGATGCATTGGGTAATAGAAAATTGAAGTCAACAGTTGGCTTTGTGTTAATGAGGTTTTAATCTGGATAGAAGTTGGGCTATGTTTAACATTTGCTTTAACTGTAGGTGCTAAAGTTTTCAATGTCCTTATTTAATCTCCCCCCATTGATGGTGAGTTTTCCTAGAAATCTGTCCTCAGAGTCTGCATCTTACAGCTCTTTCTGCTGTAATCCTATTGGTGTCTGGTAAGGAGTGGGGAGGGAAAGTGTTTCGGTGTTGTAGACTCCTTGCTCCTAGGAACGTGGCTTCTCCTTTAATCAATGTATTCCAGGTCGAAAAACTTGTTGTAGAACCAGTACTAAAATGAAGTCATTTATGTTGGGGACAAAATGGAGTCTGTCCATGCAGGTGTATTAAAGGGAAATGAAACTCAACCTTACCTAAGGAATTTACAGCTCTCCTCAGAAATCAGCAGAAGACTTCAGCCAATTTCCAATATCAAGTCTGTTCATGTCATCTCTGGATTTTCTTGTGCCTCTGACTCAACTACCCTGACCCAAATAAGAAATGAGACCACTAGGCAACCAATCAACTAAAAAAAACAAGTAACTTCTGCATTTGTCCCAAAAAAGAACCCTTTACTAGTCTTTGAGCAACTCAGACCTCATTATTCCAGTAGTCTTGAGTTTTCCAGCTTGCAGGTCAAAAGTCTTGCCATGAACACGTTTTCTGCTTTGTTTTATTCAGCGTGCAGGTGTTTGTCAGGTTCGAGTGCAGAAAATGCCAGTTTTCATTGAAGCAACTGCTCTCAACCTTTTGATCACCCATTTCTAACTTATTTTGGTTGTTCAGATAGAGAACTTGCTTTGATGGTTGCTCATCCAATTTGCCCCAGAGGCCATGTTCTAGTTACCTTCTCTATTTCCTCTGTGGGACAGGGCCCTTTGACTATATTCCCACCTTAAAGCATCCACCTGGCTTCTGATGTTTAAATGTTGCCATGTGACCTCTGTGTTACAAGTTCCTGTCATCTCTGCTGATCTCAAGGAGCCCAGATCTGAAATGTCATCTCCTGAATTACAAGGAGAGCCACTGCTAAATTTCTGAGTGATGTTAATACCTCCCTCACTGGAAAATTCCTTATTGCTTTGGTAAGTGGTATATTCTCTGAACTTCCTGTAGAACATATTCATATGCTGGGTTTTCCACCTTTGTATAGATATTTTCACTCTAGCACATTCATTTCTTTGAGATATTTAATCTCCTCTTACATTGTTAACCAAAGCAGTTATGGCATTTCTACCTAACTTGGTGTACCTGGCCATTGCTTTTGCCATTCTTCAAGATGACATTTTAAGTGTGTTTTCACCATCGCCTGCGTTCCTTGTATATGTTAAATCATGTATCCTGAGCTACTACTGCCAAATTGATAAATTCTCTCTTATTTATGTCCCACTTCCCCCTCTCTTCTTTATCCAGAACCTTCAGAATTCATTCCCATACATACTTTCCTGGCACCTGCTGGCTCTTCTTGGTTAGGTTCTACAGCTTTTTTTGTGGTTGTTTTCCAATATTATCAGCCCCAGGAAGTCCCTGGAATATCCTATGTTGTGACTTAAACCTAATTATTGCCTGGTGTAGCCTGAGAAAGGTGCATTTTGTCCTAGAGAGGAGTCCTCTGATGATCTCACATGGAAGGAGAATTAGCTTTCAACAAGGAGTGGGGTTTTTCAGGTTCACCAGGTGGAAAGGAATCTAGGTATTAAAATTTTTCAAGTCTAGCAAACTAAATGTCCCATCCCATGTGTCAGAGGCCCACTCTTTCCCAACCAGGGTGTTAACCTTGACATTTCATGCCTGCCTATGTGGAGAATTTAATCTTCTTTGGAAGTTTCCACTTGTCCTTATGCTACCGTTATATTTGAATCCTGGGAATGGCTAACAGATTTCTCTGTCTTCCCACCACAGTTATAATATTAAGGTTGTATTTAACCTTAGCATTGGCAGTTCTGAGGATTGGATAAATTCCTGATTACAGTCCTTCCAGGCATCCAAACATTCGTTTTCCATACTACATAGATCATCCAGCTTGGTTTGGTCAATAGATCTTTTTCTTGTGCATTTTTTTCTGGGAATGAATGCAATTGAGCAAGCAGATAGGGTCTCGGGGAGAGATCCACAAAAGTCATAAGAGTCATCTCACCCCCTAAAACTTGCTATGACTTTAGGGACAGCTCTAATGGCTGTGAGACTTCTGAACCTTCCTCTGCCTTAGAGTCCACATCTATAAAATATGTATCTTGCAGGGTTACTGAAAGAATGAGGATAGGGGTAGGGTTAAAACACCATGGCAATGTATTAAAAAAAAGCACACGGGGCCGAAACTGGTTTGGCTCAGTGGATAGAGCCACGGCCTGCGGACTGAAAGGTCCTGGGTTCGATTCGGGTCAAGGGCATGTGCCTTGGTTGCGGGCACATCCCCAGTGGGGGGTGTGCAGGAGGCAGCTGATCAATGTTTCCCTCTCATGGATGTTTCTAACTCTCTATCCCTCTCTTTTCCTCACTGTAAAAAATCAATAAAATATATATTAAAAAAATAAAAAAATTAAAATTAAATAAAAATTTAAAAAGCATACGGGGAGGGGCAGGGAAACTATGTCCTTCCTACCAATTTTCTCTATTCCACATGAATTTTAAAATACTAATAGGTTGAGCATGTTTTTCAGGTTGGGTAAAAAAAATAAAAAGAGGGGGGGAAGAAATGGGTTATAGCTAGCTTTGACATTTTTTCTCAACTCATTTTTTCACTGCAATTCAGAGTACCTGGTCGGTGGCTTCCAGTTCTAGAACTGGAGTTATAAAATAGTTGGGTTCCAGTCCTGGCTCTGCCCCTTACCAGCTGTACGATCTTGATTGGTTTCTCAAACTCTCTCGGAGTGTCCGACTCTCCTAATACCAGGGTACCACCGACAGATAGGATTTTCTAACTGGGACTAATCGCTTTTCCTCTCTCAATCTCCTAATCAGAGGGGCGTGCAGGCCTTTGGAGGTAATCTGCTTAGCAGCCGCTCCGATGCCATAAAAGCCTGGAAGAGGAGTGGGGCGGGCCTGGAATTCCCGCCTCCGGTGCGTGCGCGCTCACGTACGCACGCACGCACGCACGGCACGCTGCGGAAGCGCGTACGCAAGCCCAGCCCTCGTCGCCGCCGCCATTTTACCTCCTGGTTCCGGCCGCACGGTGTAGGCTGTTGTAGCGGGAGGGGTAGGGGCCCTCCAGAGTTAAGTAGCTGCCGTCGACTGCGCCGAGAAGGCCGCCCGCTTCTCTTTCTTACTCCCTTCGTGGTCGCACGCTCGAGGATGTCCAAGCGGCACCGGTTAGACCTGGGGGAGGATTACCCCTCCGGCAAGAAGCGTGCGGGGACCGATGGGTAAGTCAGGCCGGGGGCGCGAGGCAGCGGCTCGGGCTTTGTTGGGCTTCCCGGTCGGGGAGCGGGCCCGGGCCAGGGCCGGGTTTGGCGGAGTGGGGGCCCGGAGCCCGGCCCTTTGTTTTCCTTCGGGCTCGGTTTCCTAGGGCGGGTCGGGGAGAACGGCGCCACCCCGGGCGCTCGGCCGGGCAAGGGTGCGGGGGGATGTGTTGTGGCGCGGCCACCGCCCGGCCCAGTCGGGAGGGTGGAGAGGCCTGTGGTGGCCACGAGGGCGCCTCTCTCCGGATTGAGCCGAGCAAGAGTCACTGGGAGCGGAGCGGGCGGGAGGAAAGTGCGGACCTCGTGGCCTGGGGTGAGGCCTCGGATGCCCGGGGAGGGGAGATGGGGCGGCGGGAGTGTCCGGCACTTCCCCGCCGGGGCGGCCGGGGACCGGGCCCTGGCGGCCGGCGGGGGCCCGGCCCGGAGGAAGGAGGAGGAGGGCGGGAATGAGAGCCGCGCGTGGTTTCTCGCTGGCTGGGATGGGGGTGGCGGTAGTTGAGTGAGGCATGCCAGCGGGGGAAGGGAGAGGAAAGGAGAGTTGAGGGCCGGCCGGGAGAGACGGAAACGTGGGGGTGTGTGTGCCTGATGGGGCTGGGAGGCTGGTGACTTGGGGCCTTTTTCGTACTTTGGCGGGAGAGCGCGTGCATCCGTCCATTCAAACAGTACAAAGTAGACACCGGGCAAACTTCCGCTTTCTGCCCACGCTCCCGCCATCTCCTGAATTTCCTGCTTTGACCCAAACAGTGGCTACTGGGCACTCCTGGCATAGGGATTAGTAGGCATCGTGTTTTGTTTTGTTTTGTTTTTCTGTTTTTTTTTTTTTTTTTTTTTTTTGCCAAGAAATTCCTTTTTATTTTTTTTAAAAAGTTATTTCCACCCGTCCCGCCTCCATTCGTAAATAGCTTTTGAAACAAGAAGACCCTTTTCAAAAAATGGGTGGTGTTTTTTTTTGTTTTGTTTTGTTTTTTTTTAAGCATTTCTGGCAGATTATCACCTGTGGAGAGTTTGAAAGTGCAAATACTATAGAGACTCGTGGTGTTTCAGATTCCTTTCCCTTAGCGTTTCATGAAAGGTACAGGCGAATTTAACAGTTTCATCAAAATCATTTCTTGTTCAGTGTGAGCTTCTATTCCTGAAGTCAAGGTATTTATTTGGATAATTCCAGCAAAGCCACAAAAGCCTGGGCGTCCAAATACTTTGCATAGTTTTATGGTTTTCTTGTGTGTAGTTGTTTCAGAATCGCTGTTTCAGGTCATCTGCATAACTTTTATTGTAAGTTTTTGTTCACCCAAAGCCGTGTCTAGAGTATAAGCCAGGACAGTGCTTTTTTTGACACCCTCCCTTGTATTGAATGCAGGAAGCAGAAGTATGTAGCATTGTAACCGTGTAAATTTCTTAGTTTACAATGCTAAACTTTAGTCTTTCCCTCCCCCCCCCCAAAAATACACACAAAACTTTATAGTGCAGCTTGTCATAGGCTGTTTAGAATTGGAAGTGACTTCAAAAGAGAGTGCAATCAACTCCCCTTCGGGGATGAGAAAGGGAGACCCAGAGTTGTTAAGGTGGCTTATGCACACTTACACAGTTCATACAGCTGGATTTAGATCCTTGATTTTTAATTTTCATTCTTAGCCTCTTTATTACAGCACACATACTATGACTAGTTAAGAGTCATTAAAGCCTATTTTAGGGACATTTATGATGGATCAATAAAGTGGGGAACACTTCGGTTTTTGTTCCTGTGAAGCAAAATTGTCATCTGGCTCAGATGCAATTGATGTCTGTCTGTCTGTGCACCACTAAAATGCTTTTTTTGGCATTAGTGGTCCCATTGCACATGGGTTGCTCCCTTTCTCTTGCAGGAGAGGTAGCTTTCTAGGCCAAAGGTGGTGGTGACCTTATGATTCTCTTGGTTATTACATGACTTCTGCCTGTAATAAGGCCCAAGTTCTGAGGTATTGTAGAGGGACATTTGTATAGTTATTTCTGTGTCACCTGAATATCATCTCATAAAAAGGAATTTTCTTTAGCAGTGAGCTTACCACGTTTACTAGTGCTCGTCCCCCCCCATCCCCCCCCATGTATGTTTTATAATTTAAAAGTCACTTTTGCCCTAGCAGGGATGGAGTGTCAGCCCTTGGACTGAAGGATCCTGGGTTTAATTTTGATCTGTTGCAGGCCGATCCCTGGCCTTGGTGGCGTACATGTGGGAGGCAACCAATCAATGTGTGTCTGTCACAGGGATGTTTCTCCCATTCCTTTCCCCTCTCTAGAAATAATCGAAAAAATGTCCTCAAGTGAGGAATAACACACACACACACACACACACACACACACACACACACACCAAAAACCACTTTTGTTGACTGTCATGCAGGTGGTTTTATCTGAGAGGGTAGGCTTGTCAGTATTGTGAATTCACTGCCAAACATGGCTGTACCATTTCCCCAGTACTGAGAAGGGAAGGTATTGATTAATGGGAGACTTCACTCAGATTCAAGCTCCCAAACTATATACAGGATGGGGCTAAAGTAGGTTTACAGCTTTGAACATGCAAAATAGTTTATTCTTGTATTATTTATTATTGTATTATTTTCCATACGAATAACTATAAAACGACTTTTTCTCCAGTCTATAGATTTACTCCTGAGTAGCTTTATTTATTCCTGGTATATTTTAATTTTGTGGTCAGGTGGATAAGTTAAAGGTTTATGATAGAAACTGACCTCATTCCCCCCCACATTGTTCCACAAGTTTATACGTTTAACAAAAAAGACAACTTACTGTTGAAGTATAGGAGAAATTTTTGGAAAATAGGGACATTTTTCACTTTGATGTTAGTTTAGATGTTTTGTATGTATAAGCAACAATCACTATAATCCTCTGATGTAGGTGAGATTAACTTGCTCCATACATGAAGATATAAACAAAAAGGCAAAGAATATGAGATTTTCATCTGATTTAATCCTCTGATAAGCTTTTTAAAAAGATTGAATATTTCATCAATATGAATTATAATATTTAATATCAGTGGATGTTTTTAATATGTTTTATTTATCTAGAAATATGTCAAACTAGAATAGGACTACATTAACCTTTTATTGGCTGCATAGTATTCTACTTGTAAACCAATTTCCTGTTCTTTGATGCTTTGGTAATTTCCTAATCTATCATTTTGTAAATGAAAAGTGTGATGAACATCCTATGTGTACATGTTTGCACACTTACATCCTTATGAGAAGTTCCTGGAAGGAAGATTATTCTAATACCTGTTATTCCATGTGGAATTTTAACATGGTATTGTAAATTAAAAAAAATATATCTTGAATGATAAGCAGTATTTCATTTAGTTCGTGAAATACCCCACAGGACATATGAGTAACCACTTTTTAAAGAGGAAAAAATAAATAACTGGTCATCTAGTTAGCTTAATTGCTGAGCTAGGATTGTGCTGAGAGAGTACAGAACTACCTGTTTAACAACTGTCATATTTTCCCCTTGCCAGTATTGTGGCTAAGTGATTATAAAGCACTGCTTTGATAGTTTTAAAGCATTATACCTCAACTAGTGTATCTTCATAACAGTTAAACTCCTTTATAATTAAAAAAAAAAAAGCCTAATTTGGTCTAGCTATGTTGGCTTAGTGGATAAAGCATCAGCCAGTGGACCAAATGGTTCCAGGTTCTAATTCCCATCAAGGGCATATGATTTGGTTGCAGGTTTCTCCTGCCTGGGCCCTAGTCAGCTTGTGTGGGAGGCATCCAATCAATGTGTTTCTATCACATCAATCTTGTAGCTGCCCTGCACCCTCCCCTCTCCCCCAACCTTTGAACCATTTGTGGCTACAGTGCTGCTTATTTTGCTGGGCATATTTCTACTATAAACTGTTCCTCATTCACATTTTGGGGACAATATAAATGCTTAATTAATGAGCACCTTAGACCAGAGGCAGAATGAGAGAAGCAACGAAGGGATAACTAATGGAATGTTTCAAAGATAGGCTAGGAAGCTATCCTATAGATATTTTATCTTGTATGTTTATTAGGTTTTCCCTTTTTTCTTTGAAATCCTCTTTGTGCCAAATGCACAAAGTGGATTTCAGCTTGTATGTCCTGTGGTGTGAATATAAATGAATTCCCATGGAATAAATTCTTCTATACTAATAATAGACAAATTTGTAAATTGACCATACCTCCGTGATGCCTATAGCCAATCAGGAGTGAGTATGCAAATTAACCAGACAGATGGCAGACCTGTGGGCAGTGTGCACATTTGCAAGTGCCAAGCAGCCAGGGACAGGGTGGGACATCTACCCGCCCTCCGCATAGCTGGGGCAATGCAGTGGGCATCCCTGGGACCCCAACCACTTCAAGCCTGTGGTCAGGGTCCTGGGGACACCACTGTAGTGCCCGGTTCTGTCAGGCCACCCTGAGGGCAGCTGGAGTTTGAAGTTCTCTTGGTTTGTGCAGCCCTTGGACCAGAAATGGAAACCAAGGATGCGGAGAGCACCAGGAATTCTGGGAATCTTAGTTCTGGTGGCAGCCCCTGGACCAGAAGTGGAAGCCCAGAGCTAAGGGAATTGTAGTTCTTATGGCAGACTCATTTTGGGATTTCTAGACACTAGAACAAAATGAACCCGAGCAGTTTTGGGAGAGGGATGGAGGGAAAGTAAAGTTGAGAGACATAAGTAAAGTCACAATATCGAAGAAAAATTTAAAGGGAAGATATCCTGCAACTTCTAGGAAATCTCCACCAATGGAGCAAAGAAAAAAAAATGTCCTCTATTATTCTGTGAGCACCAAACCAAACTGGGTTGGGGTCTCAAACAATTTGCTCATGTGATTGCAAAGACAGAAACTCTTGGATTGTAGAGGGCTCCCCTGAGGGCTCCAAGATTGGAGAGGGTGCTGGTTGGGCTGAGGGACCCACTCCCCATGCACGAATTTTCGTGCACCTGGCCCCTAGTATCATATATATATAAAAAGTCAGCAATGGGAATGCTGTAATGACTCCTAGCTATGACACCCACTGTGGTCAATGAACCAGCCCGAGGGGTGATGGGGCCAGCTGGCCAACCTCCTGTAGCCCTCCATTCCCTGACCAACCTCACCCCGAATGGGGTCCCACCACCCCTATCGGCCCACAGCTCCTCCTCTGCTTGGTCTCCAATCAGGGGCAGGGCTGTTTGGCCAACCTCCTGCTGCCCAGCCCTGATCTGCTCCGGTTTGTGCCAGGCTGGCCGGACCCAACCTGTGCATGAATTCATGCACTAGGCCTCTAATTTATATATATTTGGGCAGGACAAAATCATATTGGTTAGTTTATTTCCGTAATTGGGAACCATCCTTCCTCCTCTTGGGTTTAGCATTTTAGCTGTATTCTACCAATTGGGGGTTACTGTTACCCAGCTGATGTGATATTACAGAGAATTAATGGTCTTCCACTTTGCTTCTGACAATTAGGGTATAGGGAATTTGTATGTTTTGAGTGTTATGAATAAAGAGCAGTGACATATCTAGTGGCTTGTGTCATAGCTCCATGTTGTCTATTTCAAGTCTGTGAACCTTGTGGCAAGCTTGTCTGCCATAGGACTTGGTCTGAAGTAAACTGGATTTGTAGAATGAATAAGCGTACATTATTTTTAAATTACTGTGTTAGGGATCATGTGTAGTAACTGGAAGTAGATACTAAATTTGACTTTAAAATTGGCCTAGTTTCATATAGTGCACATCTGTACAATTTTAAATAATGTAGTGTACAGAGGTTTACAAAGTCCTTCCAATGTTTTATTATTGCTTTAAGGATATCATGCAAGAGTAAATGAAACAAGAATAAAAAGTTTTAATTTTAGTTTTTCTTATACAGCAATGTTTGCTTATTGAACAAATTTGGGAAAATGCTGAGAAGTATGATTCATATTACTATAATGTAAAGTGGAATTGTCTTTGTGTCTAGAAACAGTATTCTTGCTAAGTTTTGAACACAATGTTAAGTGCAAAAAATACCTTTTTACATACTTGAAGAGGACTCTGGGAGTTTTTTATGTCATCCTTTTTATCTTTTTCTCTCTTTTTTTGCCTTATTGGCTTTTATCTTTTCCCCACCCTCCCCTCAGTATTCAACTTCTACCTAGAAAGGGATTTTATTTTACTAGCAGAAGATTGAGTTCTTGTGTTATCTGATGGCTAAAGATTGTGAAGAGACTGTCCCTTAACCGAATTTGAGGTGTCATCAAAAAAGGGGGAGTGTGTTTATGCATGAGGCATGGAGAGTCCTTGGTTATAAGTTTTCTTTTATTCTGGTACTTATGTAATTCATTGAGTTTTATATCAGTGTATTGATTTGGTTGTTGGACATTTATTTTGTGAATATAACACTGCTGTGAACATAAATTTTGCATAAAATTCAGAATATGGATTCTAATTTTCTTTCTTTCTTTCTTTTTTTTTTTTTTTTTTTAGGAAGGATCGGGATCGTGACCGGGATCGTGAAGATCGGTCTAAAGATCGGGACCGAGAACGTGATAGAGGAGATAGAGAGCGGGAGAGGGAGAAAGAAAAAGAGAAGGAATTGCGAGCTTCCACTAATGCTATGCTTATCAGTGCTGGATTACCACCTCTAAAAGCTTCCCATTCTTCAGCTCACTCAACCCACTCAGCACATTCAGCACATTCAACACATTCTGCTCATTCAACACACACAGGACATGCAGGACACACTTCAATTCCACAGTGCATCAATCCTTTTACCAATTTGCCCCATACTCCTCGATACTATGATATTTTAAAGAAACGGCTTCAGCTCCCTGTTTGGGAATACAAGGATAGGTTTACAGATATTCTGGTTAGACATCAGTCCTTTGTACTGGTTGGTGAAACTGGGTCTGGTAAAACAACACAGGTGAGTTACTGTATACCATGCTGTAAGTCTTATTAATGTTAAAGTTTATTAAGTGATATTTATTTTATCCTCCTGGTCATTCTCATTGTCTGCTGCCTGAAAGGGTATCTTGAAAAATGGCTGCTTTGGTGTTTCATACTTTTTAATGACTTTCAGAGTGTGAATCCAGTATGGAGTACCTATTTTTCGGAGTCTGTGAGGGAAAATAGCAGTACTGTATTTTTTTTTCTTTCTTGTTTTGTTACATTAAGGATGGCAGAGTGGTGGTCTCCCTCCCATTTTGACTGGGGTAGTACAAAATTCAGGTTAAGGTTTATTTTCTAGTGCTTGAGTGAAAAAGTCTGAACCTATGAAATGGTTTTCACTTTTGTCATTCTTGCTTGTTTTTTGCATTGATCTGTGTTTTGTTTAGTAATTGTTTTGAGTCTTGTGATTATTTATTTTTAAAATGGAAGATCTAAAGTTTAAGTCTCTTTTTTCCTGACCTCCGTCCACCTATATAACCCCCTACACACACACACTCACACACCCAGAGCTAAGCACTTATTAGTATCTCGTTAGTAATACATCCAGGGCATTTTCACACATGAGTGAGCCATTTTTGCTGGGTCCATTTTATTGACATCTAGGCTGCTCTAATGGCTGGTTTGTATGAGCAAATATTATCTATAGGATAAATTCCCAGAAATTGGAATTGCTGGGTCAGAGGATTATTTGTGTAATTGTGATACATAAAGCCAAGTAGCTTTCTATAGGTAACATATCAGTTTATTTTTCCATGAACATGCATGATAGCATATGTGGGAAACCATTAGTGTGTTCTACTGAGCTAGAAGCTTGACAAATCTGATTTTTAATTCATATTTTCTTGCTAAGACTGAGATTAACCATATTTTCATAATGTTCTAACTTGATCCATCAGTTAAAAATTTGAACTTGTAATTCTTGGCCATTGTAGGAAATTTGGAAAATTCAGGGAAGTGTTGAAATGAACTTAATGATTACTTGCAATTATTAATACGTTGTGTTTCCTACTGGCCTATTTTCCATTTTACATACCTATGATACATGCTTATATTTAACTGCATGTACAAGTTATCCTTATTTTAAATTACACATGCCACAAATGTATTAATTTGAGTATTTCATGGAAGTATTTTGAAGGCCACAATAGCAATTAATGTAGGAAAGTCTAAACCATAGTGATTTTTCTTTTTCAATAAAGGAAAACTTAGGGTTGATATTAGAAACTGAAACTTGGTTTAATTTTATCACCTGACAAATTTAAAAAATTAAATACATGAAAAGATATAATTCTGAAGCTTATTAATATAATAGTATTTTTAATAATCAATACAACTAGCTTATGTTATTTGCATAGTATTAGCATCCATTTAATTAGGTAAAGCCAGGCACTGTGTACTTGGTATGTATTATTTAAATTTTTCAATGTTTCTGCAAGGAAGTTGTTAATCACCATTTTATGGATGAGCAAAATAAGGTTTAGATTTATGAGAATATTAGAGAGGTTTAGTGGATTTTCCTGGGTTACATAGTAGATTTAGATGGGCTCAATATTTAATTTTTTCCCTTTGTCTCGCAGCCTTAGTTGTATTTATTTCATATTGCTATTCTGTGGTCTTTAATGGTTAAATTTTATTTCAAAGATGAATTTTGTGGTTTTTTTTTTTTAAGATGAGTTGAGTATCAGTTAGTATAGAGAAAGGTCCAGTCAACTCAAAACAGGTTTATGATTACCTTGATTAATTTTTTTGTTTGGAGATTTAAAATATTTGGATACTTAGGATTGCAGGGGATTTGAGAGGAAACTGAACAATTAAATAGTGAATTTCACTTAAATGCTCTTTGGTATACTCTCAGTAAATTCAGAACCATTAAGAGTAGCCAGGCATTTTTTGTTTATCTTACTGTACCTAGCAGAAAAATGAAACTCTCCAAACAGAATCAAATAATGACTAACTTGATTGAGATTCAATAAAGATATTTTACATTGCAATTCAGTATGCACATGTGGTTCCCATGTATAAGAAACTAAAACTAGTTCAGCTAAGGGACAGTATGAGCAATGGCACAGGTTTAGAGAATGGAAAGCATTGTATACATTGGACAGAGTGTAGGATGTTTAGAGTGAGGTGGGGTTGGTGAGACTGGAGCAGTAGGCTGGGCCTTAATACATCTTGCAGTATATTGTGGCACCATCAGCTTTTCTTTTTTTTAAATCTTTATTATTGAAAGTGTTACACATCCATCAGAGCTTTATAATTAGAGGGTAATGACAAGGATTTTTACAAAATGTCCTGTCTGGTAAGAATGTTGATGACAGACTACATAGAAGGTTAAACAAAATTTTCTCTGTATGGGGTAGTAGAGTGGAGAATTAATGATAGCTAGGAATTGAGGTGTAACTTTTTATTAAGTAAGGGGCCTGGGAGAAATTAATAAGTATTTGGAGGAAGGTGAAATAGTTTTGGTTTTAAACTTTTTGAATTTGAAATAGTAATAAAATACTCTTCAAGTGGAAATGACCACTAGGTTAGAGTTAGGATTGACATTTGATGTATTATAGGTACTATTAGAAATCAGAAGAATAAGACCACTCACGATACTATATAAAACAAGAAGACTAGAGGGTTGAGGATCTGTTTTTAGGAAGGTGGTCACAAATGGAGGAAGGAAGGATCTGAAAGAAAGAAATAGTTTTAGGACATCTGATCCCTGGTATGAATAGCCAGTAGCCTGCATATTTCAGGACCTATTTAATTTCTCAATGCTATTCTTAGAAATATGAATAGATGGATTAATTTAGCGACTCTTCAAATATTGTCTGGGAACCTATGAAAGTCCTTGGAACTTAGAAAGTTCTTGGGATTTTATTTGTACACTTACACACAAAAGTATTGCAGAACATTCAAAATAAAAGGAGATAAAAGAATCCAGTTGTCTTCTGTTAACCTAGACAGAGATAAGCAAAAATGTGAAACATATATTCTTGCTAGACATTTTTTGCTTTGGAAGATGTAGTTACTTTCATAGAAATGTATGAATTTTTATTAGGAATTAATATTTTAATGTCCATTTTAATTTCCTAATACATCTATTAGTTGTTTGGCATCCTTATTTTACCCAAAATTTTTTTTTAAAGTTATTTTATAAAGAGTTTCTGAGATCAGAGGTTTAAAATGGCTGAAGTAGCCAAAACTGTTTATATTTTATCTTTAAAGTGGGAATAAGTGATCCATTTCACTGGGGTGAATTTTAAAAACCTATGAGCATTCTTGCCTTAAGAATTTTGAAGTAATTTTAAATAGCTTTTAATTGACCAGTGAATTTTTTAAATTTATTTATTTACTTAATTTTGTTTGGCTTTATGAAGTACTTTTTGTGTTTGTCAGAGGCTTGCTATAAAATGAAGACTCAAGTGACCACCTGACTGGTAGCTATAACGCACAGTGACCACCAGGGGGCAGATGTTCCTGCAATCTTATATCTATATATATCTATCTACCTATATATATATAGATAGGAAATCTATCTATCTATCTATCTATCTATCTATCTATAGATTGCAAGGAAACCACTTAAACTTATTGGCCTGTAGATTTACAGACTCAGAGAGCCACTTCTCTTGTAGTTGAGTATTTTTATTCATTTATAATCCTTTAAAGATATGCATTGCCCTGGTTGGTTTGACTCAGTGGATAGAGCCTGAGGACTTGTGGGGCCACTCCCCAATAGGGGGTGCAGGAGGCAGCTGATCAATGATTCTCCTCATTGATGTTTTTCTCCCTTCCTCTCTAAAATAAAAATAGATTTCTTAAAAAAAAGAAATGTATTGTGTGTTCCTAGAGAAGTAGTGTAACCACACTTCCCTCTTTCAGATTGTCTATAACAATACATCCCAAAGTTATAGCAGTAACCTAACTAAAACATAATAATAGTACAGCAGTCTGTATTCTTTAGATATTATTGTATAAATTCTATATTTTAAAAAATCCTCCCACATGCCTTTTTCCTCTTTTTTTAGCATTAGAATCTGATGGGTTTTTGAAAGCTTTGATGGAGATCCAATCATGTCCTTGTTTCGGGGGATTCCCATTTAATGTAGAAAAGTACCTAGAGTTTTCCCATGTGTTTTTTCCAGGTAATGAGTGAAGAACCATGAAATTATAGACCTAGTAGCTTTTACTAATGATGAAATAGGGAGGAAATGCCCTGTCATCATGGCAGTCAACCAACTTGTGCTTGCTGTTTTTTTTTCCTTTCTCCTTGGTTGCCCTCCTTCAGGGAAATGCTGCTGCTGCTTCTCTGGTCCTGTTAAATCTATACAACAGTGACTGAAATTGACTTTTAGTATTGTACCTAAGGTGTTGCCAGTTTGTATACCTCTCCTAGATTCTGCTGGCTTATGAAACAAATTTGAATTGAATTAAAAGATAATAGCTATATAAATTATAAGTGGATATAATTCCTAGTTTCCTGCATTTTTGTAACTCAAATTGTATAGGAATTTAAGTTAAAGTTTTTTTGACTTTTTTTTTTTTTTTTTTGAAACTAACCTTTGTTATAAAGGAGAATTTTTTTCTTAGTTGGATTTTCCCCCAGTGAATAGAGAAATGGTCAGTGGTAGAACTGTTGACACTGTATAGTAGGGGTGGGGAATCTTTTTTTTCTGCCAAGGGCTATTTGGATATTTATAACATCATCCTCAGGCCATACAGAATTTTCAACTTAAAAATTAACTTGCTGTATTTGGTCAAACATGTAATTAACTCACCCGTAATACCTTGGCAAAGCCAGACCAAATAATTTTGAGGGCCTAGTGCCACTGTGAGCCGCATGTTCCCCATCCTTGCTGTAGAGCATATTCCAGAAAGCCTCAGTGGACCTAGCCTACTCAGGAGTACAGTTATGTTAGTGTTAATCAATGACCCTTCTTTGGCTTAGAGTGCTCATTTTGTTATAAGTTTGAGTCATAAAAAATAATTTGTGGTATGCCTAATTGAATTTTGTGTTCAATTATTCGAATGTGGTAAAGTACTTAATGTTAAATATACTTGATATATGCAGGCAGAGTAGAATTAATTTAAATGTGAAATTATTTGATAGATTCCACAGTGGTGTGTGGAGTACATGCGATCATTACCTGGACCCAAGAGAGGAGTTGCCTGTACCCAACCCAGGAGAGTGGCTGCAATGAGTGTGGCTCAGAGAGTTGCTGATGAAATGGATGTGATGTTGGGCCAGGAAGTTGGTTACTCCATTCGATTTGAAGACTGCAGTAGTGCAAAAACCATTCTTAAGTAAGTACTATCTTTAAAAATGGATACTTTCTCTGAGTTTTCTGGTGGGAGTCTCCAGTCACCCAAATTTAGAGTAGTCCAGAGTAGACCTTAGACTTATTAGATAGCATTTTATTATAGATTCTGTTTGTTGGTAGTAATACAAGTTCAGTAGACATTGACGTCCAAAAGTCAAATTTTAGTTGATTCCAAGTTTTAGGTGAAATTTTATATCATTTAAATGTAATAGAAAAATAGACATACCTTAGTAAAGGGCAGTTACTTTTAGAAAGAATGATGTGGGGTGGAATACGATTTATTTAGGGGAGAGGGTTTCTAATGTTAATTATATAGCTACTAGAAGCTTAGTGTATGAAATTCATGTGGGGGGAGGGGAGAATCCCTCAGCCCAGCCTGCATCCTCTCCAATCCAGGACTCGGGGGATGTCTTACTGCCTCTCACAATCTTGGACCACTGTCTCCTAACCACTCACCTACCTGCCTGATTGTCCCTAACTCCTCTTACTCTGCCTGGTTGATGGCCTCTAACCACCTCTGCCTGCCTGCCTGCCTGATCACCCTTAACTGCTTTCCTGCTGGCCTGATTGCCTCTAACTGCCTCTGCCTTACCCCACACGCAGGACCCAGGACTCCCTCCTCCAGCCAGTCGCAGGCACCCAGGACTCATGCTTCCCTCCTTCTGTCCGGCTGCAGGCACCCAGGACCCGGGCTAGCTGATCCCCATTCCTCTCTCCTCAGTATTGAGTGTCTGAGTCGTGATGGCTAGACGATGTGAGGGCATGATGACCATTGCATATGAGCTCTTTATTATATTGGATTACCACACACGTTATAAACTAAAGGGAGGAATCTTTTGTTCTGTAATACACTCTTGGAGTCTCCTCAAAGTCCTCATTCCTCTTTATTATTGCATGGCACACGATTGACTTCCATATTGAGCTTTCTAACATATTATTTAGCTTTCTTAATATTTTGTTCTTATTTGTGTTCTGCATAAGTTGTGATATATGTTGCCTGATAGTAATTCTTTTGAAAAATCTTTACCTTTTATTGCTGTTTATTCTGTATATATTTGGCACTTAATCATTTTCTAAAAATGATTTGTCACTACACAATCTTCCCCTAGAGGTTGTTTGTAAAAGACAATTTGGAACACATTATATGGGCAGAGTTTGATGGCAGAAATATCTACAGTGTTATGGGAGGGAACGATATATATCATATAAATTTTTAATGTATGCTGAAGTTCAATAGAATAATGAACTTCAGTGTATTTATCATGAATCTTTAATCATGGCCAGTCCTGTTTCATGCATATACCAATTTTCCCCTATCTCATAATTTGAAGCAAATCCTAGACATCATACTGTTTAATCTGTAAATACTTCTGTGTATGTCTCTCAAAGATAAGGTTTTAAAATATAGTAACTGATATCACAACTTAAAATTTTTCTTAATCAAAATACCCAGCTAGTTTCTTTGATACATATTTCATTTTATTAGAACTTGATATTAGTGAATTCAGTATCATTTTAATAGTACTTGAACTTTTATTTACTTTAGTCAGCTTATCTATGACTTAAACCTTCATTGAATAAACCTTTTAGTCTAGTGATAATCACAGGCTTGTAGTTTTATTTTACTTTAAAATGTGATAATGTCCAGGACTTATAGATAATAAAGGGCAGCTTTTACTCATTTTTAGGAGGAATATTCTGACATTTGCTTTACTATGCATTGGACTTATCTTGGGAAGCCATAGTGGAGCAGGGAAAACAGAATTTGGAAAATAGGAGATGAGAAAGTTATATGCAGTATTGGTGAGAGAGAGAGAGAGAGAGAGAGAGAGAGAGAGAGAGAGAGAGAGAGGGAGGGAGGGAGGGAGAGAGAAGGAAGGAAGGAAGTGGTGGGCTTTCAAAAGATGTATGCTTGTGAAAGAATCTGGTTCCATTACTAGGGATTAACAAGTAATATATTTGATAGCTCCAAATGAAGGTATTTTTGACATGGTGATTATTTTTTTAATAGAATGGTTTCCAGAGGGTAAAACTAAACTTGAAAAAATCTTTACTCTATAGACAGGCTAATGTTATTGGGACCTAGTAATGTCTTTAAGTGATGTTAAATCCTGTTTAATAGTACTGGTCTAGTGGTAGTTTTCACTAATGGTAATGCTTCATTAAAAATAGTGTTTATGAATCCCTAGATATATTTTGAATTGTCATCTATCAGCTCATTTTGAGAACATAGATGTTAAGAATAGAGCTTTAGCTAAGTGAATGAAAATTGGCTACATAATTAGGTAAGAAAAGCAAATACATCAGATAACCATCAATACCTTCCATTAGATATTTTCATATATAGGTTTTAAATATTTATGTAGAGCCTTTAATTTTTTTACCAAAGGAGGATGGTAAAGAGGACTAACTTCTGAAGTTTCTGCCTGATGGAATCAGAATTTAACCTTCACCGTATCTTTTTTCATTCATGTTTGACAATAATAAGTACTATTTAAATGAGTTTAAGAGTTTATTTTTAAGTCATCTCTAAAGATAGTTTCTTCAGTGATTGGGACACTATACATAAATTTTAGGTTCTAGGTCTAATATGTGTCAAACTAAGAGCCTAGGGCAACACTGCTGCAATAAGGAGCTAACTGGTACAGGACCTTTAAAGTTGAAATTGGGGAGGATTATCAGATATTACTACAGCAGATTCTTTGGGGCCCCTGGAAACAACAGTTTGATGCACCAACTTTATATGGCCTTTGTAGAGATTCAGAGTGGTTTTCAACACAGCAATCTCATTTCAAAATAGGTGGCTTAAGGAGAGAATCAAAAGGAAATAGATCCTAGAAGACAGGTTTCAGAATCAGGGCCTGGTTGTGTGCCAGCTCTGCCACTTATTAGCTGTGATCTTGGCTACATTAATGAATTTCCCTATGCTTAGTGCTTTTTCGGAAGATGGGAGCTAAAAATTACTATTTCATAGGGTGGTTCTGAGATCAAATATGTTAATTTGTGTATAGCCCTTAAAGTAATCCCTGTCACTCAGCAAGTGCTAAGGCAACATTGCTACTCTGCTGTTGCTGCTGATGGTAGATTTCCATTAGGTCTTATTACCAGTTAACTTAGTTCTCCCAGTTAATTAGAAAGGGATTTATTATACCATCTTTTTAACACAACAATTGGATTATAATTTGGGGGATTTGACTTGAATTAAACCTTGATATTACTTGTTACTACGTAATGAATTAATGAATCCAGATATTCTTTTAAGGCTGGAGGTATGATGTAGAAATAGGCCTGGTATTTTGGAGAACATTAATTAAATAAACATTAATTTTAAACTAATTTATTGAACATCTGTTAATTAGTGGTAGACTTTGTTTTAATTTAAATGTTGCACTAAAGTTAAAGGTAGTTTTACTGGATATTTAGAAAGGGGAAAACACTGTAGAATTAGAAGTTCACTCTAGAATTAGAAATCTATTGGCTTGTGTTAATTTATAAAAAGCTAACTTGGTTTCCTAGAGGTCTGCATATATTATTATACTAGAGGCCTGATGCATGAAAGTTGTGCATGGGTAGGGTCCCTAGGCCTGGCTGGTGATCAGGGCCAATCTGTGGGGTGATGGAGGGGAGGGCCCTGGGACCTGCCTTGGCTGGCCTGGGGGATGGGGGCAGCTCCTGCATTGAGCATCTGACCCCTGGTGGTCAGTTCACATCATGGCAACAGTCATTCCACCCATGGGTTGATTTGCATATTAGGCTTTTATTTCACCTTTGTGCTTATACTTAAGCTGTGCAAGATATTAGTTATAGAAGGCCTTTTGTTTAGAGTGCCAATGTCTTTAAAATGTAAAACAACCTAGCTTTCTGTAAATTCTCTTGTGAGGATAGTTAGGCATTTTTTTCAAAATCTGTGAAAATTTGAGGAATGGATAGTAGGGTGGATTGTTTGGTTGGTTTTTGATCCTCACCAAAGAGTTTTCCCCCCATTGATTAATAATAGAAGGGAGGGAGGGAGAGGGAAACATGAGTCTGAGAGAGACATATTGATTGGTTGTCTCCTGTACACATGCCTCAGCAGAGGATCTAACCTGTAACCCAGGTACTTGCCTTTGATCAGGAATAGGTTTACAGACCAATGCTCTAACCACTGTGTAAACCAACCAGGACTTGATAGTGCATTTTGAGGGAAATTTTTTTCCTTCTAACTCTGAAATACAATCTTGAATGTATTTTTTAATGTATTTTTTAAAAACATCTTAAAATTTTATTTATTTATTGTGTTAATTCTCAGCCAAGGATATTTTTCCTTTGATATTTAGAGTGGAAAGGCTGATGTTCTATCCACTGAGCCAAACAAACTAGGGATTGAATGTATTTTAATTGCAAAAATAAAGCTATGTGCTTTGCTGATATTTTGTCTACTTTTGTCCATTTTTTGTTGTATTAGAAATGCATTAAAACATTGCGATTTCAATTTATTCAAAGTAATTTATGTTGCCTTTCCATGTGACTGTTTACACCTACTAGTTTGTTTTCATTGTAAGTTCTCATTTTTATAGTAAGACTAGTGTTGCCTCATACTGTAATGTTTTCCTAGGAATGTTTTCCTAGGAACATGTCATATTGAAATTGAACCTATGTAAATCTGTGTTTATCCTTTTCCAATGAAAGAACATATATAATAATAAAAGCATAATATGTTAATTAGACCAGACAGCTGAGTGACCTATCATTCTAGATATCCTTCCAGACGAAGCCGTAGTGGTGGGGGCTGAGGCAGAGGCGGTTAGTAGTGATCAAGCAGGTAGGCAAGCATTTAGGGATGATCAGGCAGGCAGGCATGCATGCATGCAATTAGGGGCATCAGGCAGAGTGGTTAGGGGTGATCAGGCAGGCAGGTAGAAAGGTTGGGGTAATCAGGCAAGCAGGAGAGTGGTTAGGAGCCAGTGATCCCGGATTGCAAGTGGGATCCTGGATTGCGAGAGGGTGTAGATTGGGCTGAGGGACCCTCCTGCTCCCTAGTTAAATATATAAAGAGCTGTTACTAGTATCACTGGCACTTTGCCTTGGTTGGGGAGATAAGCTGTGAAGTAGTTAAGTCTATCCACTGAGCCAAACCACCAGGCATGCCTCTCCTCCCTACAACTCCAGACCCAGGTGGAGGCAGACCTGAGCAACCCCCCAGGGTCAGACCCTTCCCCAACAGCAACACCAACACCACCATCTCTGCAGCTGAAACATGCTGAACCTCACTGGGGCACAACTAAACCCACCCTCCTATACTGCCTGGCTCTGCCCTGTCCTGGCCCCATCCCAACCCCACTTCAGCAGATTGGAGCCCCGCCCTGAGCAGGTATAGTTGCACAATAGCCGGAGTGGTGCCAAGCCGGAAGGTTTAAGTGGGGGCAATTCGAGAATGAGATGACTTTGAATTTTTTTGCTTTTCTTATGTTTCTAGGAGGCCTCTTCTACAGTTTATCCTACATAAGAGGCTAATATGCAAATGACCAAATGGTGGAATGGCTGGTCACTCTTATGCGTGCTGACCACCAGGGGGCAGACATTCAATGCAGAAACTGCCCCCTGATGATTAGTGTGTCCCCACAGTGGGTAAGCCACTCAGTCAAAAGCTGGATTTAATACCTGGCGAGTACAGCAGCAGTGGTGGGAGCCTCTCTGCCTCCGTGGCAATGCTAAGGATGTCCGACTGACAGCTTAGCCCCACTGAGCCATCAGTCAGACATCCACCCATGGCTTCGAGACTGCAAAGAGGACAGGCCAGGCTGAGGGATACCCCAAGTGCATGAATTTCATACACCAGGCCTCTGGTGTGTGTAGAGGCTTGGTGCACAAATTGCAAACACTTGGGGGAACCCGCAGTCCAGCCTGCTCCCATGGCCTAAGCTATCAGTCGGACACCCTTAGTGCTGCTGTGGAAGTGGGAGAGGCTCCTGCCACCACTGCTGTACTTGCAGCCATGAGACTGGCTCCTGGAGGGGGAGCACACTGACCACCAGGGGGTAGCTCCTGCCTTGAGCATCTGCTCCCTGTTGGTCAGTGTGTGTCATAGCAACCACTTATTCTGCCATTTAGTCAATTTGCATAATCTTTTATTATATAAGATGTGTATGTATAAACATACACATATCTATCTGGGACTTTCTGGAAAGTGTTATTGTAGGAGGGGCCCAAGATGGGAATTGGTAAACTGATACCTAGTCTTGGTAAGCTCTTAAATTGGGTTTGAGACCTTGGAAAAGTTAACTGCTAATAATTTGTTTCCTTCATTGTAAAGGCAACCAATTTATATCTTAAAGAGATCTAACTATAGCAATGTCACTTTTTCCTGAAACTATTATAAAAATGGCAGTCTTCTCATATTATCTGGTGATGTAGGACGTAAGTGGCATCTCTGTGAATTGGATCTCCCTTGGTGATGATCAGTTAAATAATGAGGAATATCCAGGAGTCTGTCTCTGGAACCTAGAAGTAAGGGTTTGGTATGCATAGTTGTTAATAAAACAAGGAAAATAATGTTGTCATTAATCTAATATGTAATATTTATAATCTACCACTTGTAACATTTTCCTTCAGTCAGAAAAATCTAAAAGAATGAATATTTGGGTCAGCTCTGCTTTTGAATGCCTCTGTTTTGTGGTTGTCTGAAGCTTGATGAATGTGAGAAGGTAAAGGATCAAAGTAGAGAGAGAGTTGTTTTTTTAATGAGTTTTAAGGAGTTTTCAAGTTAAAGTTTGTTACTTTATCAGTTGTCACTTTTTCTTACATTTTTAGTATGTGAAATTTGTATTCATTTTATAATCTACTAGAGGCCTAGGGCATGAAATTCGTGCACAGAGGTGTGTGTCCTTCAGCCCAGCATGTGCCCTCTCCAATCTGGGATCCCTCTCGCAATCCAGATTGCTGGCTCTTTGCTTGCCTGCCTGCCTGCCTTCCTGATTGCCCCTAACCACTTCTGCCTGCCAGCCTGATTGATGCCTAACTGCTCCCCTGCCGGCCTGTTTGCCCCTAACTGCCCTCCCCTGCAGGCCTGGTCCCTCCAACTTCTCGCCATTGCATTCTTCCGTCCCCCTGACCCGCTCTCCCCTGCAGGCCTGGGTCCCCTCAAACTGCCCTTCCCTGTAGTCTTGATGACCCAAAACTGCCCTCCCTTGCAGGCCTGGTCCCTCCCACCTACTCTCCCCTGCTGGCCATCTTGTGGCAGCCATCTTGTGTCCACATGGGGGTGGCATTTCTGTGTGTTGGTATGATGGAAGTCTGGTGCAGCTGGTTTGCCCTGAAGGGTGTCCCGGATCATAATGGGGGTTCCCTTGGGACTGGGGTGGCCTGATCGAGGGGCCTGTGGTGGTTTGCAGATTGGCCACACACCCCCAGGGACCCAAATGGAGGCCCTGGTATCTAGGATTTATTTATCTTCTGTAATTGAAACTTTGTAGCCTTTTGTGGAGGCAGAGGCTGGCCAGGGTGTGTGGAAAGCTTGGCTTCCTCCATCACCAGGGGCAACTCTATCTTCCTGTTCTCTCCAGCTCCATGGATGCTGCCATTTTTGTTGGGATTTATCTTCTGTAATTGAAACTTTGTTGCCTTGAGTGGAGGCCTAGGCCAGCCAGGGTATGCAGAGTTGTTTTTTTAATGAGTTTTAAGGAGTTTTCAAGTTAAAGTTTGTTACTTTATCAGTTGTCACTTTTCCTTACATTTTTAGTATGTGAAATATGGAAGCTTTGCTTCCATAACCTGGGAAACCCAAGCTCGCTCCATTGCCGCAGCCATCTTGGTTGGGTTAATTTGCATACTCCTGACTGGCTTGTATGTGTAGCGGAGGTATGGTCAATTTGCATATTACTCTTATATCAGCCATCTTGGTTGGGTTAATTTGCATACTCCTGATTGGCTTGTGGGTGTAGCGGAGGTATGGTCAATTTGCATATTACTCTTATTATATAAGATGAGGGTCTTATAAACTGTGTTTTGGTTGACACTGCCTATGAATTCTTAAATTTGATCTATGTATTGTCACTTCAGTTAAGTAATGTACATATTTTGAACTATCTGTTGAGTTATTTGCTAATATGTCTTCAAAAATATCACACTAGGATTTCATATTGAAATAAATAGGCTTGGAAACTATGCACAGGTTGTACATTTCATCATATTTAAGCAAATATTTGTTGGTAGAGTGACCAATTCTTTTTTTTGCCATGAAAAGTAACAAGAGCTTTGTTGAATCTAAGTAAGGAAGTTACCTACAAGAAGATTAAGCTATTATGTTTTGTTACTGAGATAATGTGCAAAAGGATTGCTTAACTAACATCTAAGACAGATTACTAATGTCCTCAAATAGATCAAAGACAACTAGAGAGTGTAATGTAGCTGATTCATACTATACTATCATTAAGACATTGAGTCATAGTACTGTAATTGACACTTTTCTTGCATGGTCATAATATAAAATAATCTTACAGATAATGCTGTGTCTATTCCAGAAATGTGTTCAGTTGAAATAAAGAGCACTCATTTCTCTTGTACATTGTCAGTTTGTTGAACTTAATGCTCAACAGATGGCGTTAGCTAAGAATGTCAAGTTGGTCCATGAAAGATTAAGTTGGACTAAGTTATGAAAAATAGAGCCAAAATAGTGAAGTCATAAAGATTACTTCAGATTTTATACCGCTTTTAAATCTGTAAATAAATTTTTTAAGATTTATATTTAAAGGAACAAGCTGTGACATAGGCATTTGCAGGCAGAATTTATGCCAATTTAAAGGTAGTAAGGTAGTTGCTTTGTATTAATGACAGTAATAGAATGGAATGGACAGGAGATGACTGACCCATACAACCATTCTGCAACCCATCCTTCTACTAGTTCCTGGATTCTATATTAGCTGATTTCTCTTGAATCATCTCCTAAGCCTGGTTTCCCTCTCTTTGGTTCATTAATCTAGCTGTTGTACATAGCTCTTCCATATACTGTGTATTTGTTAGCATTTCTTTATTACTAATGCTGCTTTTCATTCCGTGAGTGTATTTTTGTGCTTCTTTGTGATAGCTTTATTGAATTTGGTAAGGCAGGAGAGAGATGGTAGACTCATGTGCTCTCTTAGTCATTTTGAACCAGGAGCCTGTTGTAGTGCAAGTGGCGAACTTTAAAGATTTTAAAGAAATACATGTTTGTATGTAGTAATTTATGCTTTGATTTTGCTTTGGCATTTGTGTGAAATCATGTGACCATTATATTTTGTAATCAGACTTGTTTTCTTTTTATTTCACAAATTTTAGTTTTAAAATTCCCTAAGTGAAACTTGACCAACCACGTTTTTTTGAATACAGGTACATGACTGATGGGATGTTACTTCGTGAAGCTATGAATGATCCCCTCCTGGAGCGTTATGGTGTAATAATTCTTGATGAGGCGCATGAGAGGACATTGGCTACAGATATTCTCATGGGTGTTCTGAAGGAAGTTGTAAGACAGAGATCAGATTTGAAGGTAAAGTAATTTCTTTACTCATTCTATTCATAAAGTATATGTTGTTGATAGTGCTATTTTTATAATCAATTTTGCTTTGTCTTTATTTTAGATTTGAACTATACTTTTTTTTTGAGTGATGTATTTTTTTAGCCAAACCTTTTCAATTTCTAGCCCACTCAGATTTTTGTTTTGTTTTGTTTTGTTTTAGTTTTTAGTTTTTAAATTTTTTAACAATCTTATAGCAGTGTAGTAGTGTAACCCTTCTGCTCACCCTACCCTTTATTAAATACAGAGATTTCTAAGGATCAAATCTTTGTCCATGTCCCAATGCAGTGCTGCTGAGTGGGAATAGCTATACCCAACCCACTTCTTAGAAATTTATTTGCTTATCCTAGTGTGTGTGTTCTTTCATTCTGTTATACCAGTTGTACTCTGACCAGTTTTACTATGTTAAAACTGACTAAATGTTCTGACTTAATTTTTTAATGGCTGAGTATGTTTTTCTTATAAAAACTAAATTATGCTTTTAAAGAATGTATTTGAAGAACTCTGAATATTACCATTATTGATTAAGCTTTATTAGTTATTGAAGCTTTTGAGAGAAAGGCAAGTAGAAATCAAGTAAAAATTAATTCTGAAGTATAAAATGTTCTTGGGGAGGGTTCTATTTAAGTAAATATTTAATGAGTTTTATAATGTATAAATTACATAGAAGGATGGTAATTACACAGTCATGCACATGTACCTAAACAACCTTTTGTAGTTGTGACTTCTAAAGAAGGAAACCTATGTTTATTTTAGAAATCTATTAAGGAAATCATGCTTATTAATAAAAATTATTTAGAAGAAAGTATAAAGTTTATATCTGCCACTGATTCTTTTTATTTTTTCCCATATGCAAGGTTCTTGTTTTCTGTTTTAGTAAATGTAGCAGTAATCATAACACATATTAATTACTAGAGGCCTGGTGCATGAAATTCATGCACTGATGCGGAGGGGGCCTTAGCCTGACCTGTGTCCTCTCACAGTCCAAAACCCTTCAGGGGATGTCCGCCTGCTGGCATAGGCCCGCTCCCCATGAAGGTGTCAGGCAGACATCCCCGAAGTGCTGCCGTGAAGGTGGAAGAGGCCCCACCACCGCTGCTGTGCTCCCCAGCCATGAGCCCAGCTTCTGGCTGAACAGCGCTCCCCCTGTGGGAGTGCACTGACCACCAGAGGCAGCTCCTGTTTTGAGCATCTGACCCCTGCTGGTCAGTGTACATGATAGCGACCAATCATTTCACCGTTTGGTCTTTTTGCATATTAGCTTTTTATTATATAGGTTGCCTTTTACAAATCCCTTTTACATATTATATAATTTTATGAGTTTTTGTTTTTGAGGTATTACTTCATGAAGGTAATATGGTAGTCATTTATTTGATAATCAGGTTCATGTCTTGTTTTATTAAATGTAAATAGCTTACTGTAGCTCAATTTTACTATATTTGATTTTTTTAATCACAATTTATTGGTATCAAGACTTGTAGATTTTTTTATGACTGCTACACATTATAGAGTGGGAAACATTACTTGTTTTTTTTGTTTTTTTTTTTTAAGACCACAGTAGAATCCTTGTCTACTTCAGATAACTTACTGTTTTGTTTCTGTGTATGTGTTTTCTTTTTTGCCAGGTTATAGTTATGAGTGCTACTCTAGATGCAGGAAAATTCCAGATTTATTTTGATAACTGTCCTCTCTTAACTATTCCTGGACGTACACATCCTGTTGAGATCTTTTATACTCCTGAACCAGAGAGAGATTACCTTGAAGCAGCAATTCGAACAGTGATCCAAATTCATATGTGTGAAGAAGAGGAGGGAGATCTTCTGCTTTTCTTAACTGGTCAAGAGGTATTGTCATTATTTGCTTTATATTTAGCCATTGGCATATTACTTCTATATGCAACAACTTTTAACTTAAGAAATTGGCATACATTAACCATTTTTAAATTTCAACATTAAAATTATTTATTCAACATGATTGTATTTATATATCAAGTAATATAAAACTTTTATCCATGCACTCCTAAGAATACTTATGCCATTAGTGTTTGTGTTTTAGTTATCCTAAGAATGTTAAGTGCTTTTAGAATTTCAAGATTTAACAATTTTGTCTTGGTTTTGGAAAGATTTAGATTATCAGTAGTGTGTGATAATTTGCACTTTTGCTGAAATATGAATTTTAATCACAGCTGATGTGAAATCAGGCTATGATAGTTATTTAAGCTTCTGAGTGAGCTCGGGTAACTTAGGTGCCATCCACAGTCCAAGAATGATTTTGTCTTTTTCCACATGCTCGCTGACAATTAGAAGGAATCACTGAAATTTTTAAGAATTTATCTCTCTCTCTTTTTTTTTAATCAATCTTTATTGTTCATATTATTACAAAGGTTCCTCATTTCTTCCCCCCTCCACCAGGTTCCCACCCCACCCTCCGACCCCTCCCCATCCCCCATTGTCCTCATCCATAGGTGCAGTTTATGTTCAGTCTCTTCTTCCCTCCCTTTCCCCAATAGTAAATCCCTTTTCAGATAGTAAATCAGTTACTTAGCATTTTTTCAAATCAATAATACCTCCACATGCCCAATGATACACTTCACACAAAAGACATTTCCCAATAGGTCCACCAGCCTCATCCAGGCCCCACCCAAGGCATTCACAGATCAACACCCCAGCCCTATACTAACTCAACACATCCAGATCTAAGCCTTCATCACTTGATTCAGCAGAACCCTCAAGTTCCCACGAAAGTTTCCAGCCGTAGGGCAGGGGCAGGCGAGGAGCGAGCTGCTCAGGGCCTGGCCTCTATTGCTCTGGTTCGTTCCACAACCAGCTGCTCTGGGTCTGGTCACTGCCGCTCCCGACCTAGTTGCTCTGGACTTGGCTGCTGCTGCTCCGGGCCTGGCCGCACCCGACCCAGCCGCTCCCAGCCTGGCAGCCGCTGCTCCGGGCCTGGCCGCACCCGACCCGCCTGCTCCCCCGGGCCTGGCTGCTCCCAGCCTGGCAGCCGCTGCTCCGGGCCTGGCCGCACCCGACCCGCCTGCTCTGGGCCTGGCTTCTCCGGGCCCGGCCTCTCCGGGTCTGGTTGTTCCTGGACTGGCCACCCTGGGCTTGGCCGCCTCCGCCTCAGGCCTGGCTGCCACTGCCCCAGGTCTGGCTGCTCCAGTGCTGGCTGTTGATGCTCTGGTTCTGGCTGCTGCTGCTCTGGGGCCTGGCCGTTGCTGCTCCGGGCCTGGCTGCCACTGCCTTGTGCCGGGCCACCCTAGGCCTGGCCGCCGCTGTTCCAACATTCTGTCCTTTTTTTTTTTCTTTCTTTCTTTTTTTTTTTTTTTAATGCATTTATGTTGCAATGTTGGCTGTTGAGTTGAGTTCTGACTTAGTCTTTGATTTTTCAAGAACTTCTTTGTATTCTTTTTTAAGTAATTTTACTATCTTTTGCTCTCACTTGATTTCTTCACATTGAGAACAACTTTGGTTTCTTCCTCCTTGTCCTGGGAGCTCAGCTAGTTGGCCTGTGGCACCCCTTTGTTCTCCACGAGCTCCTGTGCTGCTTTAGCCTGTTGCAGGGGACAGCGCCGCCCAGGAAGCAGCCCCCCTGGCCTTGGCTCCATTGCCCGCGCTCAGCGGTGGAAGGCTCAGGGGCACCCCCCCCCCCCCCAGGGGCCCAGTCGCCGGGCTCCTTGTTGGTGCCCGGTTGGCCGGCGTCCGGCAGGGGCTCCTGCTCCCCGCCGCGTTCCCCCAGCCTGGAGCTTTTTTTCTCCTTCCCGCTAGGGGAGTCCAGCATCAGAGTCAACAGACTGTCCTCTGTGCGCAATATGCGCACGACTCCGGGGGCCCGGCCTTTCGCTGCTCTCCCCGGACTCCACCTCACAGCCCCGTCTCCCTCTGCCTGAGTCTGGGTCCCCAGGGATTGGCCCAGAACTGGGGTTCGGAGCAGTCCGGACTGAGGCCCAGCGCGCCGGAGGCCTTGTTTCTTCTGGCTAGGGTAACCCAGCATCAGAGTCAACATTCAGTCCTCTGCGCGCGCATTGCGCGACTCCGGGGCGCCCTGCTTTTCGCCACTTTTCTGCCTCACAGCCCCGTCTCCTCCTGCCGGAGCCTGGGTCCCCAGGGTCTGGCCCATAACTGGGGCTCAGTGCTGCCGGTTCGGGGGACTCAGTGCTGCCGGTTCGGGGGTCCAGCCCAGGCTGGGGGTTTTATTTCCTTCCTGCTAGGAAGGGAAAGGCAGCACCCCGCCCTCTCCTCTCCGGCTGCGACCTTTCCGCGCGCGCGGGCGGGCGCGCAGCATGTCTCTGTACCTTAGGCTTTTTTTTTCAGCTCCTCTGATTTTCTTTCTGGTTTTCTCTTTCCTTCTTGTTGTAGAAATTTCAGTCAGTCGACTACCTGTAACTCTGGGCAATGTCCACTCTACATCTTAGTTGTATTCCATTGAAATTGTTGTGTGCTGACGTGGCTAGATGTCTACCCAAGCAGCCATCTTGGATCTCTCCTATCTCTTTTTAATATATGAATTTTAGCCCTGGTGGATATGGCTCAAATGGTTAAGCTGCGTCCAGTGCACAAGGTTGCCGGTTCGATTCCTATTCAGGGGAACATTTTTAAAACTCTTTTTAAAAAATATATGAATTCTCAGGTACAGCAAACCCATTTTTTCAAACTTTCCAATAAAATGTTTATAGTTTATAGGTGTGCTGTGAAATTCTTTAATGCTTACATAAGGTCAGGAAATAGTATCTGTATAAAATGGTTTTTATAAAGCCTTTTAAGAAATTTTTTTTCTTAGAGCTTGTCATTTGTTCTAATGGGCTTTATAAATTTCTAGAATGTGCTTCTCAAACTAGCAAACATGCAGATAACTTAGAAAATTTGCAGATTCTCATTCAAAGGTCAGGTGGGGCCTGTGATTCTGTATTCTTAACAAACTTCCAGGTAATGCTACAGTTCTCAAGGGATAAGTAGCAGGGTTCAAGAGTGAGCAGTGCTGTCCCATTAGAACTTTCTTAGTGCTGGGGATATTCTTATCTCTGCTGTTAATATGGTAGCCATCAATGACATGGCTTTTGAGTTTCTGAAATGTAGCTAGTGAGAGGAAGGACTGAATTGCAGCATTTAGAATTTTCGTTAATTTTTAAATTTAAATATCTACATGTGCTGCCCCCCCTCTCCTGTTCTGTAACTACTAGTTAAGAGTCGCTTTTACATTTTTAAAGAGTTGTAAATTAAAACAAGGAGTATGTTGCATGGGTGGTATATGGATACAAAGCCTAAATTGTTTTGGCCCTTTGTAGTGAAAGTTCTAACCCCTGTTCTAGAACATTTTTGCTCAGGTGTGGTCAGTGGATTGCCTGTAGTGTTTGCTAAAGCAAAGGAGGTTCTTGACCCTGTTCTAGATTTGCTGAAACAGGTGAAATTTGAGAGTGGAGTATAGGAATCACATCTTCCACATCCTCTTCAGGCCATTTTTATATTTTCCTAGGTTTAAAGTTCTCTTCTCCAGAGAAATGTTTTAGTGGCTTTGGTACGTTATTGCCACTACCTAAATAATGTTGAGGGAAATTACCCTAGTTATCTCAGAGGTCTGCTTGTGTTACTGCCTGTCTCCACTAGAATATGAACTATAATTTGTATTTATTTCTACAGGGATCCTTGGTATATAATATTTGAGTAAATGTTTTTTGTCCATTTCTTTAGTATTGTCTGTATGATTTATAATTTGTGCCCCATTAGTGTAGTTTCTTTTCTGAAGAGTAAATTTTTTCAAGCTCAACACTATGTTGAAGACCAATTAATCCTGTGTTGTGGGGTGTCATGTGTGTTGTAGGGTATTTATTAGAATATCTGGCTTCTATCCCTAAATGCAGTAAGACTCCCTCCCCTGGTTGTCATAACCAAAAATGTCTACAGACTTTGTCAAATGTTCCAGGAGGGATTAAAAATCACTCTCGGTAAAGAATGAATCATTCTTGTTTTTTGCGGGGGATGGAAATAAATGTGTTGCAAATTTAGTTTTTAAAGATATAAACTCTGTTAATATTAGTCTTCCTTTCTATGCATCTTGAATGAAAGAAATTTTGTATATTGTGTAAGCAAGAGTACCACATGCTTTTTTCATGGCATATAAACTGTATTTTGTTGAGATATTCATTTTGTCCTTTTGTGTTTTTAGTTTCTCTCTTCTTCCAAAATGCATAGCATATTTTCTTAAATGACTTCTAAAAATAATTATTTTGTTCAGGTAACCAAGCATATTAGAATTTTATCAGAAATATCAAATGTCCTTGTGACCTGAAAGACTTTTATATGAGTTGACAAGAGGCCTAGTACACGAAATTCATGGGGGGAGGGGTCCCTCAGCCCAGCCTGCACCCTCTCACAATCTGGGAACTCTCCCCCCCCCCCCCCTGGGGATTTTCAACTTCTGGTTTAGGATATCCCAAAACTGGTAGTCGGGCAGCCCTCTAGCAATCTGGGACCACTGGCTCCTGCCACCTGCCTCATTGCCCCTAACCACTCTGCTTGCTTGTCTCATCACCCCTAACTGCTTACTTGCCTGCCTTATTGCCTCTAATTGCCTCTTTCTCAGCCCCCACCCACCACGGCAGCCGCCCACGGTGGTGATGTCCAAAAGGTTGTTTCGCTGTCCAGTCTAATTAGAATATTATGCTTTTTTTTTTTATTATAGAAGATATTGTGTGTAGTTGATTTTGGCAAATTTCCTATAGCTTGGGGAGGGAAAGGAGCAAGCTCCGTGGTTTTCAGTGTGTTCTAGAGGGGGAGTATAATTTGTCTTTGAATGGAGTGCCATGGTAATGACGAACTAGGTTTATATGTGCCCTTTAGGTGACTAGTCTTGAAGACCTTTGGGGAGAAATAAGCAAAGAGCCTAATGTACTGTGTCTCATTGATTGTTTATAGTAGCTCTGATATAAAGATATGTAAAATTAGAGGCTCGGTACAGAAATTTGTGCATGGGTAGGGTCCCTAGGACTGGCTGGTGATCAGAGCTGGTCAGTTCTTGGTCTCCCTGTCTCCTCCTTCCCTGGCACCCTCAGTGCCCCTGCCATCTTAGTTGGTCACTCGCCATGTTCTACACCGCCCCATGGTGGTCAGTGCAGGTTATAGTGTGCAATCAAACTCTTTGCATAGTAGTCTTTTATATAAAACTACAGGCCCCGTGAACGAAATTCGTGCATGGGAACGAAATTCAACTGCCGCAGTCTGACATCTCTGCAATTCAGGACCACTGGCTCCTAACCGCTTGCTTGACTGCCTAATGCCCCCAACTGCCCTCCTCTAACTGCCTCTGCCCCACCACCATGGCTTTGTCCAGAAGGAAGTTAGATGTCTGAAAGATGGCTGATCGACCCAGTCTAATTAGCATATTATCCTTTTATTATTATAGATAGGATAATTATTCCTCTTGTTCTTGACCCTTTGTTATTTTTTCTTAGTTAAATGATAGATTCTGGGAATTCATCCGAACTTAGGAAGTTTTGGGGGAGCTACACAACTGAATTAGATAAGGATGTAATTGAAATAACCAATTGTTTGTAAATGCATACTTGAAGATGTTAAAACCCTTTGTTCTTTAAGCAACATTCTTTTTAATTTGGTGACTAAAACGTCTTACCCATCTAGTGAGTTCATATTTTTTTATATCAGTAGTGTCCAAATTAACTTATATATGATCCTTTTGAAAGTGAAAGTCTTCTTAAATTATATTTATGTCTGAAATTTCAGTATCACTCATGACGGAGCAGATGGTTGGTTGTTTTATGTTGATGACTGAGTTTTGTGGTCTTCTGAACAATGTGTCAGGTTTATCAAAGTTGTGTAAACTTTAGGAAAAAATGTTGCACTTCAGAAGCGTGTTTATTTAAAAACATCAGTGGTGTTTAGTCTTTATATCCCATGAAATAGTGATTTCATTTTAGCTCCACATATGCGTAGCCGGTTGGATAATCTAGTCCCTTCAAGTAAAGCTGGAATTATCTTCTTGTTAAAATTCTAGAATCTGCAAATTTACAATTTGGCATACTTAGCTTTCTAATATTGTATATGAGTATACAATATTGTATATTGTATACTAATATTGTATCTAATATTGTATATGGTGTTTGGTGATTTCTAACAATTTATTTTCTGTCCAAAGATATGGTTAAATTAATGAAGTTGTGACTATTCAGGATATCTGCAGCCATTTTCCCTTTTTTATTGTAGAGAATGTAGTTTTGCATTTATATTCAAACTTTTTGATTTGGAAGATACCTAATTTTGTATTTGCATACCAGCAGGGGGCATTCTAATCTCTATACAGCATTTGAAAACTACTTTTTTAAAAAAAATTGTTTTATTTGTTACATTATTTATCCTTCAGAGAATAACATTCTTTGATTTTATTTTAGAAACTTTAGGTCTCAAAGGACATTGAATCCTTGATGGTTTTCTGTGTCTATACCTGTTGTTAAAGAAAACCAGTGTGCTTGAAATGATCCAAAAAAAGTTTTAAGTATTCAATAATTTTGCATGCTTTAAAACCAAAAGTTGCACTTAAAATCATTTTAAGGAAAATTCTAGATTGAAATAATGAAAATATGGACTAAGTTTACCTGACTATTTTTTTTCTTTTGTAAAAATACTGCTTTTTGAATAAAATAATTTTTTTGATAAAGATAGCTTATGATTAGGTCCTTCAGGTTGCCAAATCATTTGTTCAATATACTTCTAAGTTTAACTGAATTAATGCTTCAGTGAAATTTAAAACCTATCTTCTTTCTGATTTTTAACTTCCTTTGCCAACTGGTAGAGCGTCTTACCTACCTTATCTTTCTGTGACTCTCACAGTCAGTATTCATTGTGTGTCCTCTCTTTAAACCTGGATTTTAATGCACATGTATTGAAATAGTTTTCTGTGGTGGGGACATGTTTGAAAGTGCTCTAAAGATTTTTAGGTTAGCCTAGTTCTTAAGTATGTTGATACTGTAAAGGGTGTATGTTCTCATTAGGAACAATGAAACAAGTCTTCCATATAATTGCATTAGTGATAACAGGATATTACAGCCTAATTGGCTTCTTTAAAAATCTAGCACATCAATTTCTTTTAGGTTGGGAAAATTGAAAAGGTTATGACTGCAGTTAAATATTCCTGAGTGAGAAGTTCAATTTTAGTACAATTCGTTGAGAATTAATTAGGGCATCCAACTTGCAGAAAAAGGGTGTGGAGTACCAATAAGGCAGTTGTATGCTTGTTTGGCTACAGAAATCAAAGTTTTTAAATTATTTTAGAAACCCCAATGAAATTTGCTAAATTAGTTAGATTACTAAATTGAAAATATGCCACAAAGAAATGGGATTGTGATAAATACTTGAATTGTTTTAGGATGTATTTGTTTTGTTTTCAGACTCAAACTTTATTTTGTAGGAAATTGATGAAGCCTGCAAGAGAATAAAACGTGAGGTTGATGATTTGGGCCCTGAAGTTGGTGACATTAAAATCATTCCATTATACTCTACACTCCCACCTCAGCAGCAGCAACGCATTTTTGAACCTCCGCCTCCAAAAAAACAGAATGGAGCAATTGGAAGAAAGGTAGCATAGACATGCTCTGTATAAACATTTTCTGTATATTATGAGAATTTTTTTAAGAGACCAAACTATATTGAATTATAAAGAACTAAGTTATGGATGATTGTATATGGGTTTATATACTACAAAATAGTCTATAGTTCAAAAGTAAATAGAAAAATATAGTTAGGTGGAATTTTTTTTTATATCTCTTGACCTGAGAGAAAGAGCAGTAACTGCTTTTCACCTTAGCAAATGGAGTTTAGCTAGGAGGAGTTAAGAAAAGAGGAATATGGCCAAGTGATATCTTTCTATTAAGTCACATGGCCGAAACTAAGAACTTTTTCTTCAGTGCTTTGGCTTCTGCTTAGAATTTTCTTTAAGATCTAACCAAATATCATGTCCACAGGTATGAACTGTTGCTTGCACAGATCTCTAGTAACAGTAGCACAAACTACATTGTATAAATATGTGGGTTTCTTGAGTGCCAGAACTGTGGGTCTTACTGGTATAGATACGTACCTGGCACTGTAAAGGGAGCAAGGGTTTTCCAACCCTGTTTCTGGGTATTTTGTTGGGGATGAGAAAGGGATCTGAGTTTTTTAGTTTGGAACAGTTGCAGCCATGCTTTTGTATTTTAACACATGATGACTCTAATAGATTCTTTGAACATAAGATTGTATTGTTTGCAAAGGATTGAAAACCACTAGAAGGAAGGTGTTGGCTGCCTTCTTAAGAGCCCAGTCATTGATTAAGTTATAAGATAGCTCTATGAAGATTTCAGTAAGGTAATCTCTGGTTTTAAAGTTTCACTTTTTAAAGTAGATATCATTACTTTCATCACCTTGACAGGTTATTGTCGAGGATTAAGCTTGGTTTATATAGTTACTAACATCAAGAAAAAACTAGTTTAAAAAAAAAAAAAAAAGGGAACAGACTAGGTCCTCATGGTATTATCTACAAATTTCTTGTGCTTTATATTTATAGAAATAAGTCTAACTCGAAATATTACTCATTTATGATGTACTTGTCAAATATGATATGTATTGCTTTTCTTATTTCTGTGTTCAGAACTAACAGATCCACAACTCTTTGCTACATTTTTTTCAATTTTTATGCTAATATTTTCAATAACTTAACAAATTACAAAATAATGAAGATATTTAACTGTATCATGGCTAATTCTTTAACATGGCTCTATAAAAGTTTAATGAGCCAAAAACACTTTTTAATTTAAAGAACTTAATGGATATACAACACCAGCCTAGTGAAATATGAATTAACAAAACATTGATATATGGGACTCAGCTGGTGAGGCTCAGTGGATGAGCATCAACCTAAGAACGAGGAGGTCTCAGTTCGATTTCTAGACAGGGCATATGCCTAGGTTGTGGGCTCGATTCTCAGTGTAGAATGTGCAGGAGGCAGCCTATCAATAATTCTCTCTCATTGATGTTTCTGTCTCTCCCTCTCTTTTCTCAATAAAAATAATTTTTAAAAAGTTGATTGGAGTAAACCAGTTTTTTGAGTTTTTCATAGATCAGCAAGGTAATGAGCGACTAAAAAATAGTCTGATCCTGGTTTCATTCTGTTGAACCTTCCAATTTCATAGTGTCTCTAGGACATGCTAAGATATTTTTCTTTTTGTTACTTTATGTGCATCCTGGACTTTGGGGGATACTTTTAGTATAACAGTTTTCAAGTTGATTTGTTGACTAAAAAGTACTAATTCTCTGACGTTTTTAGCTTGATTTTATATTAACAGAAGTATGTAAGCTAGCTATCTCTTACACATTTCTGTAGGCAAGAGGAGTTAACGCATCCACCAGGCAGGTGATTTTTCTTGTATGTGCATTTTTGCATTAGTTTTAATTTTACAATGGTGTTTTTATTTATTATTGCACAAAATTGTTGTACAGCAAGATTTACTGTTGTCTTTTCATGTAGTTCTCTTCATTCTGTTTTGAGTTACTTTGAGAAGATGGGTCCACACTGATTAATCTTATTTTACGGGTGTGCCCTTCTTTGCTCTGTTAACTTAGGTGCCAGTTCATTGCATGATACATTTTGTAGAATCTACAACTTAAACCCATGGAGTAGAATTAGTTATTTAAAGCTAGTCCCAACTTGTTTTTTGTGTTCTGGTAAATCCTAAGAATATTGAGGAATATTTTTCACTGAAAAAAGAAGATTCTTCAGCAGCTGGTTGTAATACCTTAGCTTTTAGTCCAGAATCAAAGCTAAGGTTCACAATGTCACCTCGTCATCTATTGATGGTCTTCATTCAGCTAAAGCTACAAGATTTTTTTGCTTGAAAATATTTTATCTCTTGGCATGAGTCATATTCATCTTTGAGGTTAAGAGCACTGCCATACCCTTCCTGAATGATACAGAGAGAGAAGGAGAACTTTCTTGGCAATTAATACATTATTCTTATTTTGAAGAACACTTGAAGCCCATGTTTAAGGGAAAGTGGAAATTTTTTTATAGAAGGGTAGCTCATACAGGAAGATGTACTCATCAAGTCATATATTTTTTATGCTGAATAGGGAAGCTGTCTGAAAGAACGTGGGATAAGATAGCTGAACTCACTGGTAAAGCAATACCCATGTCTAATCTTCCTTTACAAACTGTAAAAGCTGTAAGAGCAGACTATCAGGTTTATCTTCTCAAATTTCTAACCAGTTTCCCAAATACATCTAAAACATAACAAAACACAAAAATGCAAGCTATATTTGTATGTAGATGCTTTAATTAAAAAGTTCAACTGTTCTTAATAATTGATTTGAATGCAGTGATATATTACATATTATTTTTGATACTGTATATTTACCCAAACATCTATTTGTGATTCTCATGATCTGTTTGTTCATCTTGTATTACAATTCGAGATTTTCCCTACATGTGCCATTTTGCTTAAAATGTTGAGTTGAGGTTTGGTGATAGAAAAATTTCCTTTGTAAATATTGTAAGATGTACAGGTGTAGAATAGGTTATTAACCAAGGAGTGTTCTATTAGGGAGATGGTCTACTTGGTAAATTAATATTGTTTCATTAGTGATTTTCTCTTTATGGTATGTTTCTTTTTGTATATTCAAAACGTATTAGCTTTTGTTGGGGGGAAAAAAAGGTGCTCTGATGAGGTAATTGAAATTTTGAATGGTTAAATATAAGTCTTTATAACATTGGCCATTGAACACCAAACTTTATTTCAAGTTTATTTACTGGATTGAAATTTGATCTTAGTGAAAGTTAATGGCTAATATTATTGTCTGAAATTTACTTGTAATAAAATTTATATACTGGTTATTTCTAAATAGGTAGTTGTGTCAACTAACATTGCAGAGACATCTTTGACAATAGATGGTGTGGTGTTTGTGATTGATCCTGGATTTGCGAAACAAAAGGTACATGTTTTAGTACAATAGTCATATATTTTATAAATTAGTATATACTTAACTGTAGTTACTACTACTCATTTACTGACTGAAATTTACTTTTTAGACTTTTTTTTTTTTTTTTTTTAATCATTTTTAGAAGACTGTGTTAAGAACCTTTGTATTCTACCTGGTTCTCAAAAATTAAGTCCATTTGTTTACTTTTAGAATTTTTAAAGGGTTTTATTTTCTTTGTTTCTATATAATAATAGTCAGTGTCTTGCTTTGTATGTTTATTTAAGAAATATGGGGGTACTGCCGAAACCGGCTTGGCTCAATGGATAGAGCGTCGGCTTGGGGACTGAAAGGTCCCGGGTTCGATTCCGGACAAGGGCATGGACCTTGGTTGCGGGCACATCCCCAGTAGGGAGTGTGCAAGAGGCAGCTGATCAATGATTCTCTCTCATCGATGTTTCTAACTCTCTCTCTCTCTCTCCCGTCCTCTCTGTACAAAATCAATAAAATATATTTTATTAAAAAAAATATATGGGAGTACTGATAGTACAGGATTATCATCCTTGCAGGTCAGTTACTTATCACTAAATTAAAATTTCTATGAGATGACACACATAGTAGTACTAAATACCAAGTACTTTTGTAAAATGAAGTGACTACTCAATAAATACTGTATGTTTTATTATTTAAACACATTTGATTACATTTTATGGGTATGGTTGAGAAAATTCCTTGTATATAGTATTCATATTTTTGATAGAAAACTTTACCTTTAAGCTGAAAAGATGTAACTGACTTGGACCAAGTTTATTTATTTATTTATTTATTTATTTATTTTAAATATATTTTATAGATTTTACACAGAGAGGAATTGAGAGGGACAAAGAATTAGAAACATTGATGAGAGAGAATCATCGATCAATCATCGATCAGCTGCCTCTTGCACACCCCCTCTTGCACACCCCCAACCAAGGTCCATGCCCTTGACCGGAATCGAACCCGGGACCTTTCAGTCCGCAGACCGACGCCCTATCTACTGAGCCAAACTGGTCCTGGCTGAGTTGGACCATGTTTAAAATGTTTTTCTTGATGCCCACTTTGAACATCAGGTGTTGGAATTGACAGATTTTTTTTAAGGCAGAAATCTTCAGCACTATTCACTATGTAAGGGCAAGGTAAAACTGGTAGAAATGAGATTTTTAAGTTAGAAAGAGTAAAAGTGATCTTTGTGTTAGATAAGAGCTTTTCCATGTTAGTTAGAGTCTTTAAGAATGATGGAATCAGAAATGGCTAGAAAAAAGTTAAGGTAAAGGAAGACAGATTCTGTTTCTGCGGGAGCATGATTTGTATTGGTCATATTACTATGTTTGTTTTGGGATTAGTTGTGGGCTTTGGTTACTCCTGGAGATAACAGTTTTGAGTTTAATTGAAGAATCATTCTGATTGTTTATGTTTGAATAGGTGTACAATCCTCGAATCAGAGTTGAATCCCTTTTGGTGACAGCTATTAGTAAAGCTTCAGCCCAACAAAGGGCTGGTCGTGCCGGACGTACCAGACCTGGGAAATGCTTCAGGCTTTACACAGAGAAAGCTTATAAAACAGAAATGCAGGTAAGAGATTTACCGTATCATTCCTGTGTGTTTGGAAGGTTAAGCTGAACTTGTTACCAGAGAAAATTGCTTCATTTATTTCATCTTCCCTTTTGGCACCATATGCTCCTTAGTGTTTTTTGTTTGTTTGTTTGTTTGTTTGTTTTTTCCTGAGTCAGATTATGGTGTAATCTAGCAGTGCAACTCTTATTACAGTTTGAAGTTGAGGTGGACAGCAGCAATAATACTTAAGAGTACTATGAAGATTCCCTGTTTCCCCGAAAATAAGACAGTGTCTTATATTAATTTTTTCTCCCAAAGTAGTGCTAGGTCGTTTTTTCAGGGGATGTCTTATCTTTCCATGTGCTAGGTCTTATTTTTGGAGGATGTCTTATTTTCGGGGAAACACGGTAGTTTACAGACAGTGAGTACTCTCAAAGTCTGTTCCACAGGTATTTTTCTCATATGAGTCAGTGGTGTGGGGAGTAAAGAGCTAAGGAGGAAGAGAACAGATATGTTTTGTTTTCTGGAGCAAGATGATTAAGGAATATTTAACAGATCAAACATTTTTGTTTTTTGCTAGGATAATACCTATCCTGAGATTTTGCGTTCTAATTTAGGATCAGTTGTGTTACAGTTGAAGAAACTTGGTATAGATGATTTGGTGCATTTTGATTTTATGGATCCACCAGGTATGAATTCTCAGTATATTTCATCAAGTCTTATGACCAAAATTGGCTGTTTTTCTGTGTATTCTATTTAGTATATATATTAAAAATATTTTACCTTTTCTTCCAGTAAGCATCAAAATAATTCCTATGCATTAGCATTAAAACTAAAAAGAGTGACAATTATATGAATCAATTTTTCCCCCTTTAGAATAACTAACTTATTCTGGGAGTTATTGAATAGGCATTAAAATGTGAGAAATTTTCTAATTTATTTTTTATAAAAAAATAATTTGATGAACACATGTTGAATGAACAGTTATTTATGAAGATGACTATTTTAGCTACTATACAGGAAAGTTTTATAATTCTATGTGATTCATTGTTTGCTAGATCTCAGTAATTGAATTTGATGATAATTTGAGTTTTTAGTGTGGTCAACTATAGAATGAAAAATAAGACTGCTTATAATGCCTTTTACTTGGTCACACTTTTGCTTGCTAAAAACAGCTTAACTAATATATTATCTTTATCCCTTAGCTCCTGAAACTCTGATGAGAGCCCTAGAACTTTTGAATTATCTGGCTGCTTTAAATGATGATGGAGATCTGACTGAATTGGGATCCATGATGGCAGAGTTTCCTCTAGATCCACAGCTCGCTAAAATGGTTATTGCAAGTTGTGACTACAACTGTTCTAATGAGGTCCTATCTATTACTGCTATGTTGTCAGGTAATAGAGGGAAAGGAACTTTAAACCCAGCTCTTCAAAGTTTGGGTGGACTTCACTTTTGGTTTTGGTTTTTAATATTTAGTATTATAGTGCACTTTATAGATGGTCTTAAGGAACTCATTTTGTTTCCTAAATATCTTGTAAATAGCTTTATAATTACATACAGTATTTACAAAAGTAAAGTAAGTCATTGTGCACAAAATATAGTGAAAACATTGGCTCCCTTTAGTGCAAATAAAAATTGAAATAAGAAAAAACAGTCTGAGCACAATTGTAACTGAGTTCTTTGGTAAGGCGGTCAGTTTTGCGCTTTATTACTGACAATACAAGAAGAACTTTGTTCTGTACTTAGCACTATTAAGTCAGCCTGAGACAAGCCCAAACTATAATTTAAAGTAAATTTTTTCCACTTGTGTACATATGTATTTCTTTGGCATTGAAAGATGAATTTCAAGCTTAGTATCAGATAAATAGAAACAGGAATGTATAATTTTAGCCTTAATATCTAACCTGGTAATTCTTTTACCATGGAAGACAGACACTTGATAAAAGAAATATACATGAGATAAAACTATTAATTTTAAAAATTGGATCATTAAGCAGAATAAATGTTTTTGTAGCAGTAAAGTTTAATCCACAATTGAGTAATAACTAGGAAGTTACATTTTCCAAAAATAAGAAATATTGTTTACATACAAAGGAACACTGATTGTTTTGGTTAAACCTAAGTTTTTATTCTACTGGTTTTAGTACTGGGTAGAACTGACTTCCAGACATGGAGTGGTTTCTTGGTCTTAATTACAACTTAATGCCTCAAATAGTTCAAAATCTTATGGAATTAAAGAATAAATTGAAAGTTCTTCTAAATATAAAAATTTTGGCCTACTTTAGATCTATGATATATTTTAATGGTATGGAATTTGTTTTAAGAACTAGCTAAAATGTTTTTTTGCAGAGTTATGACTGATCAGACTCAGAGCAGATGGGCAGGGCAGTGTATTGAATCATTTTAATTAAATTGTAGTCTCACTTGCGGAGGTGGTGGTAGGTTGTTGTCTGCCTTTCTTATTATATGTTGTTGGTAGATTCTCCCACTGTGCTTATCCCAAGATTTTAGTTTTTAGGTCAAGAACAGGACAAGAGTTAACATTATTTGTGTATTTACTCTATATTTATTGTTACCTATCTAGTTTTTATTTTTCCTAATTCTCTTATCAGGCATACAGTTACCATTGTTTGAGTTAATATTAGTTCCTTTAAAAGGTGGTCATTGTGATGCAGTTGAAATCTTCCAACTACATGTCTTATTTGTAATAGGAATTCTACAAAACAGGGCTTACTGGTCGTCATCTTCAGCACATTAAGGGAGTGAACATTTATGTGTAGCAGTTATTAAGGATGGCATTTGCGGGTGGGAAATGTTGAAAGGCCAGGAAGATGTCATAGAACAAAAAGATTGCTGAGCTTGGCATACTTTGTTTCCATTTAAATAGTTTCTGAAGTTTATAATGCAAATCTGGTCATAGAGTGCTGCTTATCCCCACTAACTGGAAGCTAGTCCACGTTAACTCACAACTATGCGAGGTTTATGTACTTTAATGAATTACCTTGCTTCAGTAACATTCAGCAAGACAATATTTACTGTGATCATGTGTCTTTGTCTCTCTTTGGCTTCTTTGGCATCTTTTTAAAGGGGAAACTGTACGGAAACAAGTAATTTGATACTGTATATGATTTTATTGTCGGTTATTCCCGTTAACTTCTATCTGAACTGATAATTATTTGAATTGACAAGGTTTTAAAAGCTTTAAAAATGTGTTGACAAAGTCCCAAGCTGTTCAGTAATTTTATTTTCATATTGCTCTTATGACTATGGAATTGCTAAAGTGAATTAAGGAAAGTTGTATTTCAAAAAATGTAGTGCACGCTTTGTAACAACTTCAAGTTTCATGTGAATTAATATTGAGGCTCTAAACACTAGTTTCACATTTTGATGACCCTTGAAATAATGACTGTCTCAGACTAATTGTCAATTTTTTAAACACTGGATTTTGCTTTTATATTTAAGTTTTTATTTATATAACTTTTTTTTTTTTTTTAGCTTGGGACTTTATTACTAATCTTTTTATTAAAATGCTGAAAAACTAGGCTGAATATCCATCCAAGCCTTTATGAATTTTCTTAATTCAGAGGCGGTTTAACCTTCCACCACTACTGCTATCATCAAACCCAAGATTTCATGATATTTTTGATGTTACATATGCTTCTGCTCACCGGTGCTAATAGTGATACCCACCAGTTGGTAATAGCCACAGTACTAGGGAAAAAATTAAAGTAGCAATGTGGCAGTAGATTGGTTTGAAAGTTGTTTTTAGCCCAGCAAGTGTAGCTTCATAATTTTCATAGCCATTCAGTAGATTCATTGGATGGCTTTTTTAAAAATTACATCTAGCTAAAAGGCTATTGACACCATAATTCTGGTTATTGGTAGAGCTATCAGCACTGGTGTTTTTTGTTTTTTTTTTTTTTTAAATAAGTTGAGCTTTCTAGTATCTTGATGGCCTTCAGAATAGCTGTTTTGATGCCTACTTTTAGATCTAGTAAAATAATCAGGTACTCTGTAGCTTTGCAACCCTCTTGTCTTACAGATGTGGGTAGGTGTTGATGTACCAAATCAAGGTAGTACAGTCCAAGATGCAGTTGGAGGCCATCCTGCCCTGCCCTATGCTCTGTGAACTGACCTAGCTAGGCCTTGTTCCTCTATCTGTGAATGCGTGACTCATCGATATGGGCGTTTGTGTTGGGCCCATACCAACCTTGTTTAGTCCCACAGTGTTTTGTTCGCCCCACGGAGGCCAAGAAAGCTGCGGATGAGGCCAAGATGAGATTTGCCCACATAGATGGAGATCATCTGACACTGCTTAATGTATACCACGCTTTTAAACAAAGTAAGTGAAAAACAGGTTAAAGGCACTTTTTGTCCAAATATCATGTGTATCATATATGTCTTCATCTCACTTTCATATATTTGAGACAACATTACATTGGAAAGTCAGAGGTACCTTTTAGAAAAACTCCTGACTAGCATTTTAAGATAGAAATTGATTATCTTTTTTAAAGTTTTGCTTTTTCGGGGTGGGGGGTAGTTAAGAAAGCAAAGTTCAACTTTTCAAGATGCATTATTATTATTATGTACCATTTTCTTGTATAATTCGCAAAGGCATTTTTTAAAAAGCAGCTGTGTACAAGTGGGTTTAGTGGAACAGTCTTACAACAGAAGTTGCTAAATAAATTGTCATCTTTTTGAAAAGCAGTAGGTCTTGTGTTATTAAGAACTTTGAGAAATTCACTCTTTGACCCAGAAATTATCTTAAAGTATTTTAATCACAGGATTATTTAAGATATTTTAAAAATGGAAACTACCTAAATGCTCATCAGTAGAAAGATGATTTAGTGTTTTATGCTATAGCCACATGATAATCTAGCTTTAAGTCATGTTTTCAGGCAATATTTAATGATATGAGAAGCATGTTATAGTTACTTGAAATTGAGGAAATGTAGTAATAATGAAGTTATTGCTAGATGCTGTTGTTATGCACCATTTTTAAAATTAGATGAGAGGAAAACCTAAAAAAATATATGAACATAATGGTGACTTTCTGAAAGTGTTTGATTTCTACATGTTTGTAGGCTAACTTGTTGGATGACAGGCAAAGACAGCCTTACATCATTATCACCATTACCAAAAATATGGGGTTCTCAGTCATGCTGAGTTTGTGGTTTCTGCTAATGTTAGATTTTTTAATTTGTAACATTGGTGTTCACATTTTGCACCTCTTGTTTTATTTGTAACTCATTTCTATTATCTCATGAGAATTCTATTTATACTTCTAAAGTAGTCTGTTAACTTTGGCACCTCTCTGTAGGAGTGATGGTGAATTTACTCATCTCAGGGTCCAAAAAGTGCTGGAGGGCCAATATGTGGAACAAAGAGCATAACAGCCAAGGTTCTGCACATCTGTGTTTTACCTGTGAACCCTGGTATGAGCTCGATAAAATTGATGGTGTCAGGTGAGAAAAAGTGTGGAACCCTTCTCTGCCCGGGTCTGACAAATTAGGGGCAGGTAGGGAGGCAAATGAGAATCCTAGAGATGGTCAGTACATAGTTTACTTCAGAGCATTTATTTTATCCCTCTTGTGCCTGAAGTATTGGAAATGCATAATTTTAAAGACTATCCCTTATAGGATAGGTCAGTTCAAGAAATCTCTCTTCCTGTTGTGTGCCAAGCTGACTCATACTGGTTGATACAGTGTGACCATCGGACACATCACCTACTCACAGACTGACACCTGCTGTAAAGGGAGGGCTTTGAGAAGGAACAGACTCACTTCCATTGTGGTTTTTAAAATCCTTTCATAGTATTAAGATACTGTTTTAAATGGAAATTAAGATTTCTAAAGGAGCAGATGGTTTCTTTAGCCTATTATTCTTACAGGATATTTTAATTCTTTTAAAATGAAGAGATTCTATTTTGTCATTAACTGCACTAAGTGAAATTAGGTATTTAAGATTTAAAACTGACAACATTACTAAATAATGCTAGTTCTTTATGCTGTATTTATACTTGGGAGATTCCTGTGAAAATATTGAATAGTAGATACCTACAAAAGCTTTTTCCTACTCCTAAATAGGACCAGCTGTTAGAGGAAGTGTTATGAGTTAGAATTGCAGTATGCACTCACCAGTGCAAATATCAAACTTCTAGTTATATTTGGACATTTCATAGATATTGAATTTGAATGTTTTCACTAATTATTTCTAAGCAATGCTATATTGTATTACTTGAAACAATAGTATATTTGAAAAACATACATTTCTGATTAGTCAAGAGGATCTATATCTTAAGTGTAGTTTACTGTATTGGCAAGAAATATATAACTAGTATTATTTTAATAAATGTTTCTTTTATTTTATCTCTTCTATTTATCAAATTATTTCTCACAAATATAGATAATGTCTGATAGTTCTGTATATCTTGACAAGTTAATATTTGTTACTCTTTGTGTATTCTAAAACTTTAGAATCTCAGAAAAGCTATACTCCAAAGCATAGTGAACACTTTTCAAAAGTTCCCCATTTTTATTGTTTTAGTTTTGACATTGTCATTGCCTTTGAGCTTATTACAAAGCATCAACATTAGAAAAATACCTAGAAAAATACCTCTAAAGTGGACTTTCTCTCTGTTTAATCTGGACATATTCAGTGCTTTGTTTTAAATGTCAGTAACTTCAGATTGGTACTTTTCATTTCTCATCCTAGATGAGTTAATTAATGGACATTTTAAAACACTTCAATTTAAAGATCCACTCTACTACCCCACCTACCCACATATTCTGTTTATGGATGTGGCTGCATTTTATAGTATGTTAACATTTATTAATATATCTGTTGTTCCTCTGAAAAGTTATTAAGAAAATGAAGGTTATAATTGGTAGAATCCTAAAACCAAGGAGAAAAGAGTGTCAAAGATTAATGGATATCACAGTAGATGGAGAAGGAACAACATGATTCCAATTTTTAGGTCTCCATTCCCTCCATTTTGCAATGACCCTAGTAGGTTTATTTTCAAAGCTCCTCGTGATTGTCTTTGGTATACAAAGATGTTACTGTGTATTTTTATTATGCTACAGTTTAACTCTTACATGAGCAACACTAGGTTAGTGGGAAGCTTGTCAAAGATTCATCAATGGGGAAATTCCTTTGATAATAAATACCTGTAGGGAAATTACTTAGATGTGCTTAAATAAAAGCCTTGCTTATTAAACATGTGAGTGGGGGTTTCTGACATCCTTGTAAACTTTATCACTTGCATTTTAAAACTCTGTCCAACACTAAGAGGCACATAGTAGTGAAGGCTTAAGAAGTACAGCCAATTGATAATTCTCTCCCTTTCCCTTCCTCTCTAAAAATCAGTAAAAATATATTTATATTTAAAAAAAAAGAAATAAAGACATGGCATTTTACCAAATTCCTTCTACTTATCCCTTCTTAGAACATGAATTGGAAACAATAACTCAATTCTTTAGGAGAGATTTATTAAAGACATTGTTTTGTCATCCAGTCGCTTAAAGCTGTTCATTTCTGGTTTTGACCCTCACTAAGGGTTTTTAGTAGAGTGATAACATTGTGATTCATTTACAAAGATGATTTGGTAAATCTCCTTTTTGGGCTACTTAGCTTACTCTTAAAAACAACTTTCCTATTTAATTAGGTGATAACACCTGTGTGGATGATTCATGTCCTTTCTTTTCCATCCCCTTTCTCTTTAACTTTGTAGATCATGAATCGGTTCAGTGGTGTTATGACAACTTCATTAACTACAGGTCCCTGATGTCAGCAGACAATGTTCGCCAGCAGCTATCTCGAATTATGGACAGATTTAATTTGCCTCGTCGAAGTACTGACTTTACAAGCAGGGATTATTACATTAATATAAGAAAAGCTTTGGTTACTGGTTATTTTATGCAGGTATGTGGAAAATACAGGAATACTACATAAATATTTACATAATATTGCTTGTTTCCTATAACAGCCCTTTGAATCGACTTAAACACAAGTTAGTTTAAGAAAGCTTATGAATATTGGTTTTAAATGTTATGCCTAGAGTCTCAAATTAACTAAGCTACTAAGATATTTTATTTGTCTAATGAATAACAAATTCTCTAAATAGCAAATTACCAATTCAGTTAAATAGAAATCATTTTTAGAATTCTTTATTAATGGAGTGTTTTTTTTATACCAAATGGATATGTTGGCTATTTTCAGGTGGTATTAGCTATTTATTCAATATAAATTCCAACCCTTGACTTTGATAATGTATTAAAATTTCCTTGAATCTAGATCACCATTGGAGGCATATCATTGTAACAGAACTGAAAGGAAGTAGCTGTCTGGGTTGGTCCAGAAGTATAGTTCACTTTCTTCTTTATGTAGAAACTGATCACTCCGAAGTTCAAATACTCAAATAGTATAGATCATTGGTATTTATAACTAAGATATTTGAGTGTTACTTTTGTAATAAAGATGCTGTAGGAGCACACTGACCATCAGGAGGCAGCTCCTGGGTTGAGCATCTGCCCCCCAGGTGGTCAGTGTGCATCATAGCAACTCGTCATTCTGTCATTTGGTCAATTTGCATATTAGGGTTTTATTATATAGAGCTTTAAATGTGAATATTCTAGTAATTGCTAATCTACTCCATAGTTGTCCCATGGTGCTAAAGAACCCACTCAAATAGTCTACCGCAGGGAAAAGGACTGGATAGAAAATGTATCAGGTTCTCTGGCCCATTGGATCCCTGTTGAAACTACTCAGCTGTGCTTGCTCTTCTAGTGCAAAAGCAACTATGGACAAATGGGCATGCCTTTGGTCCAACAAAGCATTACTTATGGACACTGACTGATATTTAAACTTTATGATCTTTCCGGAGTACCAAATGTTGGTAGATTTTTTTTTTTTTACTCCCCTATCCCAATTATTTAAAGATGTTTAAACCATTCTTGGTTGACAAGCCTTAAAAATACAGGCAGTGATTTACATTTGACCTGCAGTACTTTGCTCATCCCTGCTTATCAGGCAGTGATAGATAAGGCTAGCCATGGAATAAAAAGCAAAAGGTGAGGCCTATATACCACTTTAGTTTTATAACCAGCACATCAGAAGCATTGTATTAATTACTGTGTTTTGTAATAATTTACTGTGTTTTGGTTTCAGGTGGCACATTTAGAACGAACAGGGCATTACTTAACTGTGAAAGATAACCAGGTCGTTCAGTTGCATCCCTCTACTGTTCTTGACCACAAGCCTGAATGGGTGCTTTATAATGAGTTTGTCCTTACAACAAAGAATTATATTCGGACGTGTACAGATATCAAGCCAGAATGGTAAGCAACATCTTTTGCTCATTAGCATTTTGCTTCAAATGGAATCTGGCTTTATTATAGGAGAGACATTCTTCTCTCTTTTATATATATATATTTCAGAAAGAAGAGGACTGGGAGAGTTAGGAACATTAATGATGAGAGAGAATCATCAATTGGCTGTCTCCAGTATGCCTCACATTGAGAATCAAGCTCACAACCTGGGCATTTGCCCTGACCTGAAATCAAACCATGACCTCTGGTTCATAGGCCTACGCTCAACCATTGAACCAAGCCAGCTGGGCTTTCCTTTCCTTCTTAAAGGAACTTCGTATTCTATATACTTTAGTGTGTAGTTAGTAGCATTGACCTCATATGGTTGATCTCTTGAAATCTTTGCTTTGCTAAAATGACAGGGGAATTATTGGTACACATACAGGCAGGATTTAGAACCAAATATAAAAAGCCACAGTTGACTAGCATCAAGAGTGTTTTTGGAGCACTTCTGCTATTGTGATTAATTCAAATTCCCTGGTTCCAGGAGTCTGTCAATCTTTGTATTTTATCTGTCCCATTGTAATTGGCTCTCAACTATTTATTATTTATGTTTGTGCTTTGGGAGCTAAATAAGCAAGCATAAAAATTATGCCTGTCTTTGTATCTTAGCATACTGTTTTTCCCCAAATGTAATCAAACTGTTATTTTAAGCAAAATTACACACACACATACACACACACACACACACACACACACACACACACACACACACGCACCACCCACAAATCCTTTGTGTGTGGGTGTTTTGGGGCTTTTTTTCCTCCCCCTCCAGGAATCCATTCAATAATTTATAATGGCAAACATCAGCCAAGAATGGTGGGACTGAAAGCATTTATTTAGTTGATGTCACTTTTCTATATATTGTGAATCTTCTTTCATACAGTGATTTATGACTTTTGACACTTAAATTGTATAGGACATTACCATTTTATCTTACATGCTTTGTTGAGAAAAAATTATATGGCTAAACATTAAAAAGATTTCAGTCAACTGTATTCTTTGGGGTATCTACTTATATTTATAGTTATTAAAACTTTGAAAATGAAAAGATCCAATCATTTGAATACCAAGATGTTTCCTTTATAGGACCTGTTTTACCATAACCTAAGAGAGATTCTTAAAATAGTGTTCTAGAATGAATAAATGAATGCCTTTATGTTAATAGCTTTAATATAAGTAAAGCGTGTGTTTTTTTTTTTTTTTTTTTTAATCTATCTTGATTTTATTTTTAAGTTTATGGAAAGTTCAACATTAGAAAACTTAGAGCTTACTAGAATTATATATTGCTAAAAGAAGTGTTTATAAGGATTTAGGCAATTTATAATTTTATCAGTTTATTCATGGGCAATTTCTATCTTATTAGCACTCCAGAACTAATTAAATGTTAATTTGGTAATTTTTTCCCCCTCCTCTGGACAGGTTGGTGAAAATTGCCCCTCAATATTATGACATGAGCAATTTCCCACAGTGTGAAGCAAAGAGACAGTTGGACCGCATCATTGCCAAACTTCAATCCAAGGAATATTCACAGTACTGAATTCAATGCTTAGAACTGAAGTTATTCAGAGGACAGCTTTAAAAGATGAATGAACTGAAAAGTTCAAGTTGTGCTCTTCACGTTGGTTCAATAATGGCCTTTATTTGAAAGCTTTTTAATTTTTCTTTACAGTAAATATTCCATTCTGATTTCATAAATTAAACATTTATGCCTCCCTTTTATGTTGACACTGTAGCTCATACTGGAAAAGTCGATCAATGTTTTGCAGTTTATTGAAAGTAGTTCTATATATAACAATGTTATAAGCATTTCTTTAGAAATGGTTGAAAATGCTTCTAAAATGTGATTATCGACCATGGTATGCATGATCGTTGTAATTGTTGACATTCCTTTTTAGAAGTTGTGAAATGTTACAACTTGTGCTTATGTAGACACAATCTTCTGTCTCAGTACAGAGGCACTGACTTCAATAAAGTCTATTTATACTAATTTTGGCCAAAATACTTTGATACCTTTGTTCTAGTCTCTAAGTCTGGCTTCTTTTCTTCCCAAGTGTGGGCTTGTTTTAAAAATGTAAGTACACTCTGATTACATATTTAGCATCTTTCTACAATGACTACTCTTTAGATAAAGTAGTCTTTAAAGCAGATAAAGTAGTCTTTAAAGCAATAGTCTTAAACACACAGCTTTGCACTTTATTAATTGATTAGGATCTGATCTGATGGGATAAAGTATATGGTTTTTATTCAAAATTGGATCCAAAAAGGAGAGCTTTCTCTTCATCTTAAAGTGCATTTCATAAGTTTGATAATTTATTATTTTTGTTAACCACATTTTTAGCAAATCTTTCTGTTAGAGAAACAGTCTAAGCCCTATATTATGGAAAAAATGTTTATTTGTATTAATAGATAGTAGGGAATGATACTATATGTAGATCTTGGTCTTGGTTTCAGTATTAGGTGTTTTATGTGATGTACAAAAGTAATTAGTATAGTGTGTAAAATGTGCATTTGACTTTCCATTCCTGTAACAGGCAGTAGACAAGTTACAAATTCTTTCTAAATCATAAATAAAATGTGTTTGGTATGACCCGTCAAAGGGTCTGTAATTACTTCCTTTCGTTTAAAGACTAAATACTGTACTCATTAATTCCTGGACACCCTTTTTCAACCTCTCCCCCTTGAAAAATATTTAAATGTTAAAGGAAATTTATAAATTGTGTGTATAGTTGGAGTTTAAATATACTTGAAGCATAAATCTAGTATGTGATTTGAGAGAGTTAATTGGGCAAATTAAAGAGTATTTCAGGCTACTGGCATACTTCGGCATGTAGGTAGTTATTAAATGATGCCTGGTGGCTTAAAGGACTTAATGTGCTTCTATAACTATCTGATTTTTGTTCCTGTGGAACAATTTACATGCTGATACAATATTTTAGAATACTTTTAAATTGGTTAACATTTTATCCTACATTAAGTATTGGCGACATTATCTGTTAGAGTTTTAGTTAGGTTAAGAAAGTACTTGGTTCATCTTTTTAACAAAAAGGCAGCTTTTGTCAAATTTTTTCACTGTTTCCAGTTTTGTAAGACTGGCCACATCATATAAAACTGGCATTTTAATATTTTGTTAACATTTTTAACAAATTTCTTAAATCATTGATGTTATTGGCAAAGCTATGGCTTTAAAGCTCGTGTTCTCCAACCTCTTTGTTTTATAGATGTGGCAACTGATTACTAAACTGGTTACAATTTCCCATGTTCACCTAGGTCACAACAAGAAAATTAAAAACTTTTTCTATAATGTGTAGAAATTGTTTTTGAAGATTTTCTGAAGCAATACCTATAAATACTTGGGATTCTCTTCTGAATAACTTTTAATGGCCATCCCTCTGCTCAGATACTTTAAAGAAGTCCATTACTTTGTTAGTTCTGTTAGAAATGCTGAGTTAAAATCTGTTTCTAATTCTTCCTTCCAGAGCTGTTAGTAAAGTAAGACTGTTTCAGAATACCATTTAACTGTCACCTTCCTTTATTCTTAGGCTGTTTTCCCCTCAGCCTCCTCTTCTTTGACATGGTTTCTGGATATCCTAAACAACCTCTGCCAGGCATTCAGCACTGTGGTCTAAAATGGGCAGCGTGCAGTGGAACTTAAAATTCCGGGGGGACCAGACATGCCAGCATTTCTGTCAATGCAACTTATGGCTAACATTATAATGAAATTTGATAACATAATATGATTTATATTAACCTTTCCAGCACGCTTTCAGCTTATATTAATCTTACTATAAATTTAAGTGTTCTAATTATTACATGATAACTTTGTATGTGGCTCAGGGCTGAGAAAAGACCCTTGGACCATGGTAATCTTTGGAGACTTCACACATTTAAATGTATCCATAGTTCATCCAATAACCTTTAAAATATCAAAGACATTTTTAAAATTGCTTCTAAAATTAGGATAGGAATATCTAATATGAGAAACATGCATTGTTTTCAAATTCAGTTTTTATCGAATTTAAAAATAAAGTTAACATTTGATATATACTCCATTAAACATCTATTTAAACTTTATAGTTTCTTCTAATATTAGAGAAAGTATGGGAGGAGATAGTGTTCAGAATTTTTAGTAGTGGCCTGCTACCATATCTATGGGTAAGTGACCTTGGAGATAACCATTGCATGAGTGCTCAAGTTATCTTTCCATCGCCAAGACAAACATGTTTATTGAGCATTTCTTATTGCAGTGAATTATGGTATATACTGCTCAGATTATGGGAACTTTCTTATTTTGTTTACTTGCATTATTTAATTTGAACTTTGTAATTTTTCAGTTTTAGGATATTTGAACTTAACCAGCAAAAATCTCTACCACCTATATCATTCACTTAGCCCAAACCTGAGAGTTACTTATATTTAGCAAAGTTGTTTTCTTACTTACTATATGGGCATATTTTACTGTTTGAAAAGATGCTATTTTTATAGTTTTCATTTATAATTAATAATAGACTAATAAATGGAATCTGATTGAGAACTCAAATCATAAACATGAGAAAACCACATTTATGTATGTTGGTTTTGCGTTTATGTTTTCAAACCTAGCCCCCTGATTCCAGTTTTGTTTTGCTTGTAGTGTTCCTTTATAGAATTTCGGTAAAAACTGCTCAGTGATACCAGTCATTGTTCATTTCATTAAACACTATCTCTGGAAGGCATTGTGTGAGACTATAAAAACAGGATAGCTCGAATAATGGGCCAGTTGTATTATAGCTTTAAAAAAATGTGCAAAGACCTGAGTTGTAAAGAAAGGTATAGTTAATGTGTTAGTGAAAAGATTAAAGAGCTATAGTAATCAGAAAGGGAAAGGTGGGTTAAGATTAGGCAAATATTGAAGAAAGTGATTTATAAATAAGCAAGTTAAACAGTTAAGAGTGAGCCATTGGACTCAGATTAGCTTACATCCCTGGTTCTAGCCAGTTGTCAGAATTCCTGATAGTATTTCAAACAAAGCTGGAAATACACATATAAAATATTGTTAGAAATTACAGTTTCTCAATATTTTGGTTCTCAGACTCTTAAAGCTGGATTCTGGGCAGCTGTTTATAACTTCTGCATTAAATAATTGGAGAAGTTTTGTGAAGGAGGTTTAACCGGACTTTAAAACATTAATTTCTACAGCATCTTTGATGATTAACAGCATTTCAAGCCATGGGCAGTTGTTAAAGTTGGCTTAAGTACACCCAGTATAAAATCACTTTTTAGCTCTACAGACAAATGTATACAGTAGGTCCTCGGGTTACCTCAGCTCTGTTGCTATGGTCACCATGAGTCAGAACCCACCTACATAAGTACCTATGTCACATGGCACACATACACAGCAGTAATGAAGTGAAACAGTAAAAAAAAAAAAAAAAAAAACAAAACCTTGACCTTGTGGTAATCATCTATACTAATAAAAGGATACTACATAAATTGGTCATGATGCTTTCACAATAACAACCTAACAGCAGGCTGTGTGGGGTGACCAGGCCAGCAGAGGGGTTGTTGAGGGACAACCAAAGACTGAACAGTCTGCAGGGTGACTAGGCCACCAGGGGGGCAGTTGGGAGGCAACCAGGCTGGCGTGGGGATTGGGGGGAGGTAGAGAAACAGGGGTGATCTGGCAGGTGTAGGAGCCAGCGGTACTGGATTATGAGGAATGTCCAACTGCCAGTTTCCGCCCAATACCTGGGAAACGCAGTTGGATATCCCCCAAGGATTTAGGCTGGGCTGAGGGCACCAGGCCTCTAGTATCTAATAAAGAGGGAATATGCTAATTTGCCCTCACGCTATCACAAAGATGGCAACACCCACAACCAATAAGTAGGGAATATGCTAACTGTCAAAGATGGGACTTAAGCCTGCTGGGGCAGCTGGCCACTCTGCACCTGCCTTCGGAGTCCTCCAGTCCTCTAAGCCCCCCAGCCACCCAAGGCTGGCCAAAGGCACAGGCAAGCCTCAGTGGCTGCCTAGCTACCCAAGGCTCAGGTAACCAGGACCAGCCGAGGCTTGTGCTGCCGGCAGTGGCAGCAACAGGTGTAATGGGGCATCACCTTCCCCTGATCGCCAGGTCACCTCCTGCCCCTGAGGGCTCCTGGACTGTGAGAAGGGGCAAGTCAGGCTGAGGGATCCTCCCCTCCAATGCATGAATTTCATGCAGTTGGCCTCTAAATTTTTTTTTAAAAAAAGCACATATGTACATACATACAAACATACATCGAAATGATGGAACTTATTAAAAAAATAAATGGGAGATGACAGCATAACCATGAAACAATGTATGTCAAGTCCGATGTAACCCAAGGACTATCTGTACAGTTGTATAATCATTATAATCCATATATAACATTTTCATCACCCCAAAGGATTTCTCCCTGTCTCCAAGTGCTTGGCAACCACTAAAATTTCTAACCTTTTCATTTTTTCCCAGGTCATAAATGGAATCTGTATAGTGTTTTGTGTCTGGTTTCTTGGGAATGCTTTTAAGAGTTATTCATATTG